CCGGCTTACCTAATAATTTCGGGCACGACGTTACCCGGTGCTCAGATGCTCGACAATAGGAGCAGGGGGGGGGGGGGGTTGACGACGACTTGCCTGGCGGATTCAGCCTCTTACTGGGCACGGCTTGTAAGACGTCAACAGCGCCCGTCGCATTCTCGATCTGCCGGCACTGCTCCTCCAAAAACCGCAGCAGGTCATAGAAGGGCGGAATATAGGAAGCCTCGTCCCCGCCGTACCTCTCCTCAAAATGGATTCGAAGGTCGAGAGGTAGACGGGACAGCACGATGCGGAGTGGGCGAATGGGCTTTTTTGATGCAACAAAAAAGCCCATTCGCCCACTGGTAAATCCAGCCGCCTCAACGTATTACAGGCCACCAAGACTGGATCCAACAGGTCCGGACGTAATCTGGCCCGGTCACTAAGCAGCGGGAGGCTTAGAAGCTGCTTAATATGTTTGTCTGCAATTCGCCGCACGTTGGCGTATCTGTAGTCTGGTAGGCGTCGTCTGACAATCTCAAGTGGCCGACGACGCTCAGGGCCTCCCCCTCCAGTGAGGCCAGGAGGTACGCCATCTTTTGGCTCGGGGTCAAGTCACTCCGGGCGTCCACTAGGCTGTCGAAAAGACCATCGAAGGTTAGCCATTCGGAAAGGACCCCGGAGAACCTTGGCAGATCTAGAGTTGGGAGTCGTCCCAACAGCTCCGGCTGAAGCTGCTTCCGAGAGGACTCGGGCAGGCCACTCATCCGAGCTTCACGCGCCTCCTCGGCATACCTGCCTTCAGCCTCGATCAACTCGTCCGTGAGCGAAAAGAACTGCTCATAGTCCGCGAAGCAGGAGTCCAGGACTTCCGTCTCCACATCCGAATCCTCGAGCTCAGCGTAAGCCTCCTCCACTGCGGCCCTTCGAGCATCTACCTGCTCGAACCGCTTCATCAAGTTATGGATCCTATCCGGTCGACCTATCAAAGCATGGGTGCTTATGGCCCAGCGCAACTCAGTCCGAAGACAACGGATCAGTAGCTTGGGCGATGACATCACTACTAAATACAAATTACGACGCGGCTCGAGCACAAATTACAAAGATAACAAATAAAAAATACAACAAAAAATTAACAGTTAATACATGCAGTTCCTATCAAATCGAGTTAAATAGAAACTACACAAATACCAATTACTACTTATCAACCAAATACAAGTTAGCACAAAAGAAAAGACACAAATCAAATTAACAAATAACAAATACTAGTGCGATCAAATCAAGTTAAATTCAAATTGCGCAAATACGATTACTACTCGTTAGTTCAAATACAAATTACAATACAAACGAAGATACACCTCACGGGCGATCAACAAAAAATGCCTAGCTCGGAAATCGACCCTTCGATAAGCAATCCACTACAACTATCCGACAACGATAATTAACCGATTACGTGATAATATCCATCTACCTACATGACGTATACCTCTAGAAAAACTCCCGCTTGCGCACAAAAAGGGCGCGGCTTTCAAATCTACCCGCTAACCAACTAAGCAAGCAAGAAAGGAAAATAATTTTTTTTTTATAGGAGAGGGGGCAAACGAGCATGCGGCTCACCTGATGGTAAGTGACTACCGCCGCCCATAAACAACTGCAACACCAGGGGAATCGCAGATGCGTTGCCGGCCTTTTAAAAAGGAGTACGCTCTTTTCTTGAAGGTCCCTAAGTCGTATCGGTCCGGAAAAATCGCTGATGGTAATCGATTCCACAAGGAGGTCGTGCGAGGAAGAAAACATCTTCTAAATCGCACAGTGGTGGACCGCCAATCATCCAGATGGTGTGGATGGTATCGGGAGTTCTGCCGCGATGTGCGTTCGTGAAATTTGGCGGCTGGGATTAATCCGAACAATTCCTCAGAGCACTCCCCATGGTAGATGCGAAAGAAAATGCAAAGGGATGCAACATCTCTTCGCAGTGCCAATGAATCGAGCCGATCGGAAAGGGCTCGGTCGTCGACAATTCGAGCCGCTCTGCGTTGGATGCGGTCAAGTGGAAGGAGCTGGCACTGGGGAGCCCCTGCCCAGAGATGGGAACAGTATTATTATTATTAATTTAATATTTATTATTACGTACAAAAAAATACTTTTACGTATTACGGACGGGCGTGATTGTAGATACAAAATTAAACCAATCAAACCAACGCTCCCTGCCACCAGAATCGTTTAATTTTTATCAAACACTATGGTCGGGATCGACTGGGGAATCGAACCCGGAACCACGCTGTGTTACCAGTTTGTTACGGCCTACGGCTGCTCCCATAAAGATCAAATCCTCTGGGGCCCATTCAGCAGAGTTTCAACGAACAGACGTAGGTCGGGCCTCCTAAGGCCAAAGTGGAAAATCTCTAGTTACGCTAAACAATAAGGGGGAGCGTTCTATACTACTGCCATTCAACAGGGAGAGTATTAGACGGAGCTTACTTACCTATATCCAAGGCGACTGCTCCCTCAGGATTCGGTCAGGTCGCATGTGGTTGTGTGGTGCAAGAGAAATAAGGTGCTGTGATGTGTATCTGGGAGTGACTGATGGTGATTGACCTTAGTAGACCTTTGCCGTCGGCAGCAGCCCGGGCGTCAGCACCGCTCCGAATTGAGGTAATCTTCCGCGGCGCCATCCACAGTCATTTTTTTCGTTCGTCACGATGACAGTCCATTAACTCTATCGTACTATTAACTAATTTACAGAAGCCACTAACTCTTGTTTGTTATAAAGCTTAACACACAAAACGAACAGGGAGTGTCCGGATCAAAGGTCACTACCGCTTCGCGTAGCAACAGTTATTTCTAGAATATCAAAGGCCGCTTTAACTAATATTGTCGAATGCACTTATACAGATTCTGAGTCTGACACAATGAGTCCCTGGGAAGCTCTCCAGCAAGGAATGCGCGTCACAAATCCTAGACAGTATATTTACTAGCCGCGCCTAATTATTCCGAGTTCCCGAACAAAAATTGACAGCGTGCTGGTGTTTGCACAGCTGGCAGACGACTGGTTTGCCCCTTTACGCGTTCTCAACACCCACCGCTCGACCGACGTCAAAACCGGTATGGCACCGAGCCGCGCGCCCTCTGACGTCGATTCCGAAACCAGCGTTTGGCGCGAACGATGACACTAAAGGGGCGTAAAAAGTTAATATAATTTTTTTCGTGTGATGGAGTCATGATAAATAGATTTATACAATAAAACACTCATGTATATTCCCTATTATTACATCGAAAAGCATTTCAAACTTAGTAATCTTCAACAACATTATCGATACTTTGATATCGAAACGGTAGCATTCCTAAAACGACGTTATATTTATTAACGTCACCTACTGGGGAATAGCTAAAATGTTGTCTTAATAAATGCTTAGCGTTGTTTTGCTATTTTTAGCTAGAGGGTGCCACACGCGCACTAGCTTAAAGTTTTTGTGTATAAATGTTCCAAATGCCCGCTCTAAAGTATATCTATATATTTAAATCTCTTTGGTTTTAAATAAGACTTCATCAGTTTCTAGAGTATTATATTAATATACAAAACAATGCCTCAAGCCTGGTTTGCTCTTTAATTCTAGGGTATATATACAGTAATTTATGTCTAATTTTTTGCACATTTTAAACTTTTTTTTTTAAATTTCTACATTTATTAATATTTGTGATTTGGTTTATTTATTTTAATGTTATTAATATAAAATATTGTTAATAGTACAGAAACAAACATTAACCATTACATTTTCCGAACAAATTAACGACCCCGCTATGAAATCTGTCAAATATTATACCTCTATTTAAAGTGGCGCCGCCCTGGTGGCAGAAAAATTCATGGATGCCCTCATTGTTGCTGGTACATATAAACCAGTGTTACCAGATACATGGTAATTACCGTTAAGCACGCTATTTTTGACCAAAGCACCGTATATGCTGGTGATCTATTATCGTATCGTTTTCTACGGTATTATTTAATATAAATTACCGTGTAAATAATAGTCGAATGATAATCCAAAACTATGAAATCCCTTTAACGAAACGCTTAGTCTAATTAGGACCCAAACTATCATTTGTGGTTGCTCCATCTAGTGAGGGGCTGCGCCCGACTTTCACCTCGTTTACCGTTACTAGGACTTTCATCTCAGTAATCTATCTGTACCATCGGTTTTCGAGTCTTAGAACTTACAGGACGTGCCAGTTAAGTAAGTGTAGGAGTTGCCATATAAACAAAATATTTCTCGAAAATCAAAAACTATATTTCAACACTTCAATAAATAACAACACTGTACACTTAGAAAGAAGCCACACGATATGCAATAGTTGTCATAAGGCGTGGTAAGGTTGTGGTAATATTGCGGAGTCCTAAGATGCGTGGAGCCAACGCTGCGATGGGCCTAGGGTTACCGTCTGATAAATTCGATTTTGACCGGATTTTAAGAGCCAAGACCGGACTCTGCCCGGATATCAGACCATAACCGGATTTTTACCATTTTTTTTATAGAATTGGGGTGATGAACGAGCACACAGTCCACCTGATGGTAAGTGGTTGCTGTGGCCCATAGACATCTACATCTATCTTCGTTTCCGAATTAAAATACAGATGCGTTGTAAGCCGTGAGGACTAAGACAGAATGCCTCTTTTCTAGTAAAATAGGTCTCCGGTTCTCTATATTCACCATACGAAACACATCAGCATTAAGCCGCTATTTTACGCTGGTATTCTGTGAAAGCGTGGTCCTTACCCAGTCGAGCCGACACATTCGTGCTACAACTACACTACTAATATAGATGCAGCATGGCTCTACCACGTTATCAATGGAGTTGAAGACACCAATTTTTCAAGGTCAAGTGCGTCGACTCCTTCCAAGCTACGACCATGCATGGAACAACAGCAGAAAACAAATTTGGCTACGCACTTGGGTGCGATTTTGCACCGCTAACGCAAAGCATAGTGTGGCTTCTTTTAAACAATTGAATCCGTTCTTCTAGACTCTTCATTCTTCCTCTGGACAATCTTCACCAGGCATTTCTTCTTGTTCATCGAACTCAACGTCATCTACACCTACTTCCTGCAAATAATGTTAATGTAAATGTAATCCTCCATCGTTACTCGTGTATGGCAGAGTGCCGACCCACTACCTCATAGCGTCTCGTGGGTGTCGTAAGAGGCGATTGAGGGAAAGAAACCAGGAGCTAGACCTAAAATATCTAATACTGGCTTTTCTCCATCACTTTCCCGCGTGTAATTTAGGGTTTTAATTTTGTTGCGCGGAACCCTAATTATTTTTCTAAAATATAAGTAGCTTAAGTTACTCCTTATAACATCAGCTATCTGTCAATGAAAGTCCCGTCAAAATCGATCCAGCCGTTTCGGAGATTAGCCGGAACAAACAGACAGACAGACAAAAATTTAAAAAATTGTGTTTTTGTTTAAAGTACCGTGTATACTTTCATATGCATTTAGTAAAAAGCTGGTATTTTGACATTACAAACAGACACTTCAATTTTATTTATTTGTATAGATTTATCGGTGACATGTTATGCCATCAGACTCAGGTTAGGTTAGGTTAGGTTATGCCATCAAACCCAGAAAGATTTCAAATCCTCGCAAAAGAACACCGATTTCTACCAATAATGATTCGCGAGGGAATTGAAAAAAAAATACAAATTACAATAAAGAAGATGCTGGGTGCGTTTAATATAATGGAAACATTTCCTTGGGATGGCAGGTTTGAAAGATGACCTTATCACAAAAATTGATAAGGGCGTGCTTCGGTGGTTTGGGCACGTTGAGCGAATGAGTGAAGACCGAATGGTGAAGAAAATATATAGCGCGAAAGTTAATATTAAAAGGTGTCGAGGTAGACCGAGACTAACTTTCGAAGACCATGTGAGCAAATTGCTCGAAGAGGGTAGGGTCAAGAGTACTCGGATACCTAGACGTGCATGTATGAAGAAGATAATGAATCTGAAAGAAGCGAAAGAGATATGTAAGGATCGTGACACTTGGCGATCTGTTCTCTCTGGCTACCGTCAGGGATTGTGCGTGAAGATAAGTAATTATATGACGAATCCGTGGTACAGTGACTTAGCAATGAGTTGCTGCGTTAAAGGCCGCTGGTTCGAATATCGCACGGAACAAGTATTTGTATGGCCTATAAATAAATTTTCCGTGTCTGGATGTTCGTCCTTGTGCAATTTATGTCTGTAAACTGCATTCACAATACAGGAAAAATTCTAGTTTGGGGGTAATATTTAAAAAAAAAGAAAAAAAAATAGAAATAGAACAGCAAGTTGCAGCGTAACACACTGAAAAAAAAGGTAAGTTACAGTTGTATACCTCATACTGTTGGTACTCGGAGACCAGGTCGTTCATGTTGCTCTCCGCCTCGGTGAACTCCATCTCGTCCATACCCTCGCCAGTGTACCAGTGAAGGAATGCCTAGAAATAACAACAACTATATTTTCTTCGCACTCTTAATAAATACCGTTATTCATAACAGCCTATAAAAAATCCACAACTTAACATAGGCTTCTCCCATAGATTGCCTCAAAAGGGGATTTTGCCATAGTATTGACAACAACAGTCTTTTTTTTATTGTCTAGCTTAAGTGAGGACAATATAGTTATCCGGCTAATATAGTCATATAACACTTTCTTATAACTCAAAATTAGATTAGATCTCGGCCCAGAGATGGAATATATCACTGATCATACAAACTTACCTTCCTTCGAAACATGACGGTGAACTGTTCAGAAATACGCTTAAAAATCTCTTGAATTGCAGTGGTGTTGCCCACGAACGTGGCGGCCATTTTGAGCCCACGCGGCGGCACGTCGCACACCGCTACCTTCACATTGTTCGGGATCCACTCCACGAAGTAACTGCAATGTTTAAAATCTCTACATAGTAGATATAAAACAAAGTCGCTTCCCGCCGTCTGTACGCTTAGATCTTTTAAACTACACAACGGATTTGATGCGGTTTTCATCAATAGACAGAATGTTTCAAGAGAAAGGTTTATACGTATAATACATGCATGTTATATATTATTATATAATTCGTCTGTCCGTGTGTACGTGACTGAACTCTTCTTAAACCGCTGGACCGATTTTAATGAAATATGTGTGTGATTAATTTGATTAGAGAATGGTTTAAATTCACAATTGAACTCGGTAGGTGGCGTTGTTGTCTAGGTCATCCAGAAATCAGCGGCTTAAAATAATTTAATCATAAATTAATAGCTTCTAAAGTCGGTGCTAAGACATGTACTCGTAGCTATATTGTACTCTGTACGCTTAGGTATTGTCACCTTTGTGTAGCGCCGCCTTGGCACGTGCCGCATCTTGTCAAAAGCGCCGCCGCGTCATCAAAGCAAAATAGTACACACGCAGGAAAATTTGGCACGTTAAAACGAAGCGCCGTAGTGAAATGTTCTTCGCTAGCTAACTTGTGTTTATTATTTAAATTCGTATTTTATTACAATAACCATGACACCGACTAAAATAGAATACTATTTTATTCTTAGAATAGAAAACATTCAATTAACAAACACAATAAAAAATAATAAAGTAAAAGCAAAATAATAAGTGCGCCTGCGGGTGTACCGACACTATCTTAGTGAACAGACTACACGGGGAAGTTTTTACCCGACTGTCGTAAGAGGGGGGTAATGTTTTTCGAGTGTATTTTTTCATAGGATAAGGGTGACACTCGAGCACACAGTCCACCTGATGGTAAGTGGTTGCTGCGGCCCATAGACATCTACATCTATCCTCTATTACAAATCAAAATGCAGATGCGTTGTCACCCGTGAGGACTAAGATGGAATGCCTCATTTCCAGTAAAAAGATTCTCCGGTTCTCTACACACTCACCATACGAAATACAGCAGTGTTAAGCTGCTATTTTACGCTGGTATTCTGTGAGAGCGTGGTCCTTCCTTGGTCGAGCTGACCCATTCGTGCTACAACTATACTACTAATATAGCTGCAGCATGGCTCTACCACGTAAAAAAATGTGTGTATGTATGAATGTATGTATGTCTATTTTTTGGCACGCTCTTTAATCTAAACGGCTTGATGGTTTTTAAAATATGAGATGTCGTTAGAATTGTCTTAGTTGTAGAAGTGACATAGAGATAAAACTATTATCTTTTCAACCGACTTCATAAAATGGAGGAGGTTCTCAATTCGACGGTATTTTTTTTATGTGTGTTACCTCATAACTTTTTTGTTGTAATTTGAAAGCTGGTGCTTCTCATGTGGCCCCATATAAATTTGATCAAGATCTGACCTGTAGTTTTTGAGTTATCCTTAATAATGTGTATTTAATTGATTTCGACTACATTGATTATGTTCTCATTTTCCTTCCTGGTTCGGGGAAAAAGTTTCTTCGTATTTTATGTACAAATTCAAGACAATTTTTTTTTCAATGTAAATATATTTAATTATATTATATATGTGCCATTTTGTACGATAGCTTGTTGTTATCAAAAAAATGCGACAAGTAGTTTTGACAGTTCTCTTTTGGTGTTAACCTAACACTACCCAAAGAATTCTGAAGAGACCGAAAATCTGAGGGTGCAAGGTCAGGACTATATGGTGGTTGCATTACCACTTCCCAACCAAGCTCTCTCAATTTTTGCTTAGTGAAAGGGCAGAACAACATCTGCCTGGCGAGCTAGTATACATATATATATATAGTGTGCTATTTCACTCTGATATTATGTGAGAGCGAGGAGATTCTTCCCCGGTCGAGCCGACTTATTCGTGCTACAACTATACTGCTAATACAACTGCAGCGTGGCTCTACCACGTAAAATTTAATTTCTTCTCTCAACTCTCAAGGAATGCCACAAAGCACGGTCCAGAACCACCTGCATCCATTGACTTCCTGCATGTCTTACCAGGTCGGTCCATCTAGTGGGGGGACGCCCTACACTTCGCCTGCCGGTACGAGGCTGCCACTCGAGAACCTTTCTTCAACATTGATACGGTTTTCGTCGGGGTCGATCAGCTGGTGATCTTCTGGTCTACCTGACCCATAGATGGGCGGAGGCAGAAGAGTCCAAGGGGGAGGCGTTGGCCGTTAGTCTGGACATTGCGAAGGCCTTCGATCGGGTTTGGCACAAAGCGCTTCTTTCGAAGCTCCCTTCCTATGGGCTTCCCGAGAAATTGTGCAATTGGATCACCAGCTTCCTTGCAGATCGGAGCATCAAGGTCGTTGTAGACGGTGCATGCTCTGACTACAAGCCTATTAACGCTGGTGTTCCACAAGGCTGTGTGCTATCACCAACGCTGTTTCTTCTGCATATCAATGATATGTTGCTAACTGGTAACATTCATTGCTATGCGGATGACAGCACTGGTGATGCTCTATACACCGGCCGTGCCAATATTTCTCGGGAAAACGTCGCTGAGTACCGGAACAAACTTGTGTCTGAAGTCGAATCTTTGCTGAGCAAAGTCTCGGATTGGGGGCGACTAAATCTAGTCCAGTTTAATCCTCAGAAGACACAAGTTTGCGCGTTTACCGCTAAAAAGAACCCCTTTGTTGTATCTCCTCAGTTTCAAGGCACTCCCCTTCTTGCCTCAGCCAGTATCGGTATCCTCGGAGCCGACATATCGAGTGACGTGCAGTTTCGCGGTCACTTGGAAGGGAAGGCCAAATTGGCCTCTAAAAAGCTTGGCGTGCTCAGCAGGGCGGGACAGTATTTCATGCCGGCACACCGCCTGCAACTTTACAAGGCGCAAGTTCGGCCTCACATGGAATACTGTTCCCATCTCTGGGCAGGGGCTCCCCAGTGCCAGCTCCTTCCACTTGACCGCATCCAACGCAGAGCTGCTCGAATCGTCGACGACCGAGCCCTTTCCGATCGGCTCGATTCATTGGCACTGCGAAGAGATGTTGCATCCCTTTGCATTTTCTTTCGCATCTACCATGGGGAGTGCTCTGAGGAATTGTTCGGATTAATCCCAGCCGCCAAATTTCACGAACGCACATCGCGGCAGAACTCCCGATACCATCCACACCATTTGGATGATTGGCGGTCCACCACTGTGCGATTTAGAAGATGTTTTCTTCCTCGCACGACCTCCTTGTGGAATCGATTACCATCAGCGATTTTTCCGGACCGATACGACTTAGGGACCTTCAAGAAAAGAGCGTACTCCTTTTTAAAAGGCCGGCATCTGCAATTCCCCTGGTGTTGCGGTTGTTCATGGGCGGCGGTAGTCACTTACCATCAGGTGAGCCGCATGCTCGTTTGCCCCTCTCCTATAAAAAAATTGATTGAAATTGAGTGTCGGTTCTTCGAGCTTTATGGCCGGCTCATTTCCACTTCAGCTTACTAATCCGTTGGGCTATGTTGGTCACTCTGGTTCTACTGCAGGTATTCCCATTTCTAAGTTTATCACGCAGAAAAACTCAGAGCATAGCGCTCTCCATAGCTCGCTGAGCGATCTTGAGCTTCCTCATACGGCCAGCAGTGAAGGACCACGTCTTAGATCCATATGTCATTACTGGCAACACGCACTGGTGTTGTATAATCTTGTTTTCATGTTTTGAGATCTTTTGATAGGCTGCAAAGGTAAAGGAAAGATAACGTTTGCAGATCTCACCTGGAGTTCTTGTCCTGAACAGAGAGCATCTGCTCGTCAACTTCCTTCATGGACATGCGGCCGCGGAAAATGGCCGCCACCGTAAGGTAGCGGCCGTGCCGTGGGTCGCACGCCGCCATCATGTTCACCGGACTGAACATCTAAAGAAAGAAAGAAAGAAGATATTTATTTCGACATCGCTATCGCATTCGCACAACGCCGTATTATACATAATATTTTGTCATTTCGAACGTTCCTAATAATAAAATAGGTGTTGGACGTTTCCGAACGTGACGGAAAGGACACAGAGTACATTTGAATAAAAAGGAAAGGGGTCGCACTCAGCGTTTGGCGTGGCGAACCACAACTGCTGTTTTCTTCCGACTTCAAAAAGGAGACGGTACTCAATTCAACTGTATGTTTTTTTATGTGTGTTACCACACAACTTTTTACTGGAAAAACCGATTTTAATGACTCTTTTTTTATTTAAAAGCTGGTGCTTCACATGTGGTCCTATATAAATTTGATCAAGGTGAGACTAATAGTTTATGAGTTATACTTAATAATTTATATTGAAGTCGGTTGTACAAAATTTTAAATTTTAAATTATTCAGTGTTCATCTTAATAAATCTTATTAAGATGCACACTAAACTAATTATGGAACAAAAAATACAAATAAATGAATTACTAGCGTCTATTAAAATGAAGCGTCATTTGAAATAAAATAATATTTCTTGCATGGCAAGATAAGAAAAAAGTGCGAGGGAGATGGATAGTATTCCATCTCGTTTCCCTATTTCGCCGCCAAGGCCGTGTACACTGTGACACAAGGGGCAGTGACGAAAAAATCTTACACTTTTTGTCGCCTAGCTCCCATCCGCCAAACCTGTACCGGCCGATTAGGAACTTCGTTCCAAAAAGAACCATTATAATCGGTTCACAATTGACAGAGATATCGGTAAACATACATAACATACATTCATCTATTTCGTGGTAGAGCCATGCTGCAGCTATATTAGTAGTATAGTTGTAGCACGAATGGGTCGGCTCGACCGGGGAAGGACCACGCTCTCACAGAATACCAGCGTAAAATAGCAGCTTAATGCTGCTGTGAAATTTCGTGTAGTGAGTGTAGAGAAGCGGAGACCCATTTCACTGGAAATGAGGCATTCCATTTTTCTGCCGACTTCCAAAAAGGAGACGGTACTCAATTCGACTGTATGTTTTTTTTATGTGTCTCTCATAACTTTTTACTGGGTGAACAGATTTGGATGATTCTTTTTTTATTTGAAAGCTGGTATTTCTCGTGTAGTCCCATATGAATTTGATCAAGGTCAGACTAATAATTTTTGATTTATTCTTAATAACTTATATTGAAGTCGCTTATATTGAAGTCGGCTGTACAAAATTATTAATTTTAAATTATCATTCATTTGTAGTAAAGTAAAGTTACAGCCTATATACGTCCCACTGCTGGGCACAGGCCTCCTCTCATTTCTGAGAGGGTTTTAGCAAGGAAGTGTCCGCCGCGCTGCCCAAAGCGTGTTGCCGAACTTTACGTGTCTTCGAAATTGTTTTATTTCTCGGACATGCAGGTTTCCCCTCGATGTTTTGTTTCACCGTCGAGCACGTGGTAAATCGGCACTTAAAATTAAAATTAACAATTTCATTGATGCCGGTGGGGATCGAACCCTGGTTGTTCGTGTACTGTGAAATTTATAACGAGCGCTAAGTCCCTGAGCTACCACTACTCAATTCATTCATTTATTTATTCATTATAGTCTATCGAAAGTACTCTAATGAATAAATAAATGAATGAATAGAGTAGTAAAATGAGTACTCGAAATCGGTCCACCCAGTAAAAAGTTATGAGGTAACACACATAAATTAAAAAAAAACATACGCGTCGAATTGAGTACCGTCTCCTTTTTGGAAGTCGGCAGAAAATAATATATAAGCAAACAACCAGGAGCACTTTGCTTACAATTTACACACTTCTCACCTGCTGCGTAAGTTCGGGAACAGTAAGCGACCGATATCCCTGGCTGTTCCTGGCTGTGAGTGGCGCGAATCCTGTAATTCCAAAATAAAAAAATATTAAATTACAAGTATTTTACAATTTAGTCGTTAGACGTATGTACATAAAAGTACAGGAAAGTAGGAACCAGGGTGAGCAGGCTCCTTTAGCGGCGAAAAGACATGCTTGTGTTTTGGAGGCGTTAAATCTCACGAGATTGGCATCGCCCCATTCGGAGACTGCCTGTAGTGTGAGGCTCACACGCTCAACCACAGCCTCTCTTTCGGGCTGGATTTGATCCCGACTGGCCCGGGCACTTGGTTGATATCTTTCTACAACTGTGCTGTCGTCTGCATACCAATAGATATTGAGAATGAGCAGATCATTTATATGCAACAGGAAGAAAGTTGCGGAGAGAGAAACACCGGCGTTAGTCGCCACAGGACAGGACAGGACAGGACCCGGAGAGACCGTTCACTCAGAAAGTCCTTCACCCAGACACTCAGGCCAGGACATAATCCGTACGCTGAAAGCTTGCTCAATAGCCTAGCGTGCTAAACCCTGTCAAAAAATTTAAGAAATCATTTCATAGCTTAGCTAACGGTACCGTAGACAAAACTATTATTGTAAGTGTTTAATTATTGTAAGAAGTTCGATTTATAGGTTGTTGCTCTGTACTAGGACGGCAGCAAGTAGATATAATTTATAATATTCAGTAATTTATTTATTTAGTAATGTAAAATAATAACACTGGATAGAAACGTGTCCGATAAAATAAAATATTTATTATACATTTTAAATGATTATTTCAGAAGCCGCGAACAAAAACTGGTAGGTACCTAGATATTTACGCATCCATAACTTCGATACCAGTTATTTTATCGAAATCTTTCGTTTCTGTATCACTGCCATCATTCCATTCTGTGTTTATCACAAATTAACGAACGTAAAAATTCAACCGAAACAAAAAATCAACAGTAACAAAAACAGTAACAAACAACGGACGTAGATATATTTCAGCGTTGCTATCGGTACTATTATGGCGACGCTTGAGGCGCGGTATGAGGGAGCGCGGCGGGAGGTAACGGCATTCATTAAATGAACACATAGTAGTGTAATAATATACATTGTTTCATTTAGTGTAGTGTAGTTTTAAGAACACCACCCGCCAACTTAACTCTGTTCAAACTAGGTAAGACACATGTCCTTCTAAGTTCAGCAGCGAACTTGTGAAGGTCTGTAATGATGATGACGATGAACGATGAAGGGAGAGTTTTGGCGGAACGGAAAGGAAATTGACCGGCGCCGGATTGCTTATCCTGTATTATTGTTTAAATAATGGTTTGAAGTGGACTTTGATATGTAAAAGTGGTGCGATTTTGTGCATTAAGTGTCTGCGCATGTGAACTATTAGTGGAAACTGTGAAACAAGTGCTCTGATGGTGCTGTGACTCTCATGATAGGGTGTCTGTCTGATTAGGCGCCTTGAGATATCATCGCCCACTGTCAGCTGTCTGCTGGCTCAAGTTGCCATCAAAATCTCCCAAGGGCTGCACAATGTGATGCATCAACATATTGTGAAGCAGTGTACTATGAAAGATAGTTATACATTATAACTTCAGGCTCAGAAGGGCTAGAACCCAGAGCCGTAAAGGCAGTTATAAAAAAATAAACGATGAAGACCCATTAAAAGCAACAACTCAGAAATCGTTTCGAACCTGGCATGAAGAAGTGCAACCTCGGGAACGGCACCATGTTGACGGCCAGCTTCCTCAGGTCCGCGTTCAACTGCCCAGGGAACCGGAGGCACGTGGTCACCCCGGACATGGTGAGCTGTTCATATAATCTTTAGATAAATTTTACGGATTTTCGTCTGCGTAGATCGGACCAAATATTACACAGGGTTATTTTTCAAAGAGCAGCCAAATTTTAAACTTAAGTTCAAATATATAAATAACTAGCTGTTCCCCGCGACTTCGCCCACGTGTAATTTAGGGTTTTAATTTTGTTGCGCGGAACCCTAATTCTTTTTCTAAAATATAAGTAGCCTTAATTACTTCTTATAACATCAGCTATCTGCCAGTGAAAGTCCCGTCGAAATCGGTTCAGCCGTTTCGGAGATTAGCCGGAAGAAACAGACAGACAGAAAGACGGACAGACAGACAGACATTTTAAAAATTGTGTTTTTTTTGTATTAATGTATAGATGATATACCGTTATTGAAGTTTTTGAAAATATGAGTAAATAAAGCTTGAACTTGAGACTTTTATTTGAAAATATCCCAAATTGAATGTGATTTATGGGCAACAACGTTTATGCCTACCGATCGACCGTTATGAATGTGTGCGTGCACAGTAAAATCAGTTAAAAAAACAATTTTGAATTTAAAAGATAATAATTTAAAATTACAACTTTGTACAACCGACTTTAATATATATCATTTAGGATAAATTAAAAACTATTGGTCAGACCTTGATCAAATTTATATGGGACCACGTAAGAAGCATCAGCTTTCAAATAAAAGAAGAATCACACATAAAAACCATACAGTCGAATGAGTGAAATGAGGACAGAATCTTTGAGATTTTTTTAATTAATTTTTTTCGTAATTTGCCTATATTACTTATTCTGGACCTTCTCTCTAAATTTGGCCGGTTATTGCACAATAACCCTGTATATTTTTTACCAGTAGTTTTCTTCTTCGAACGGCTTCTTTTTTTTAAAATAGTAACCGTGACAAACGAGCACACAGGTCACCTGATGGTAAGTGGTTGCTGTGGCTCATAGACATCTACAGGCGTGTCACTTTGTAAAAATCTGAGGTATGGAAAATGGTGGCGCGATTTTCAAATTTGTTCGCATTACTCGTGGGGTATTAAGGTTTAAGAGTTTGCAGTGTATATACTCAACTTATTTATTGAACTATAAGATGTGGGGTATTGAGGTTTAAGGGCTTGCGATTTATTTATATGGGGTTTGTAGTAATATGCGATTTATTTCCTAATTTCAGCTATGGAATTCCATACCTTGAAAAACTTGAGGTATGGAGTGCTCCATACCTTCCATAGTGGAAGTGACACCCCTGGACATCTACATCTATCCACGATTAATAATAAATTGCAGATGCGTTGTCACCTCAGATCACTATAATGAAATGCCTTCACTATAATGAGAGCCTTGTACGAGTAAGTTTTTATACGTGGTAGAGCCATGCTGCAGCTATTAGTAGTATAGTTGTAGCACGTATGGGTCGGCTGGACCAGGGAAGGACCACGCTCTCACAGAATACCAGCGTAAAATAGCAGCTTAACGCTGCTGTGTTTCGTATGGTGAGTGTAGAGAACCGGAGACTCTTTTTACTGGAAACGAGGCATTTCATTTTAGTCCTCACGGGTGACAACGCATCTGCATTTTGATTCGTAATCGAGGATAGATGTAGATGTCTATGGGCAACAGCATCCACTTACCATCAGGTGAACTGCGTGCCCGTTTCTTTTATTCTACAAAAAAAAACGGAACTGACCAAAACTGACCTTATGTCTTACACCGATGTAAATGGAAAATACGTACCGAAACAAGATGGTTCAGATCACCGTACGTTGGTGAAGCAAGACGTAGGGTCCTGAAGCAGATGTCGTAGAGTGCTTCGTTGTCGATGCAGAAGGTCTCGTCCGTGTTTTCCACCAGCTGGTGGACGGACAGCGTCGCATTGTACGGCTCCACCACCGTGTCAGACACCTGTGGAAAGTTCAATGATGGTCGCTTCAAAGCTGTCTAGGTGATTCACTAACATAATTAATACGGAGTAAGCAGAAACCCCCAGTTGTCCCTTGGGTGCTGTAAGAGACCACATATGGAAACAAACCAGGAGATAAAGTGTATTTAACATCCTGCACGTCAAGTGTGGCAACTATGGAAAATAGGGCAATCTTGGAAGAAATTGGAAGGCCTATGTATCAGCATGATGGACTTTGTATTGAATGATTATGATGAAAATAAAAAAAACCTAATTCAAAGGTATTTTTTGTTAAAAAGATTACTTTTTTATAGAATAAGGGTGACAAACGAGCACACAGTCCACCTGATGGTAAGGGGTTGCTGTGGCCCATAGACATTTACATTTAACCCCGATTGTAAATCAAAATGCAGATTATTTGTCACCCGTCAGGACTAAGATGGAATGCCTGGTTTCCAGTAAAAAGGGTCTCCGGTTCTCTACACTCACCATATGAAACACGGCAGCATTAAGCTGCTATTTTACGCTGGTATTTTGTGGGAGCGTGGTCCTTTCCCGGTCGAGCCGACCCATTCGTGCTACAACTATACTACTAATAGCTGCAGCATGGCTTTACCACGTAAAAAAACTTACTCGTACAAGGCTCACGTTAACCTTTGACTGCCTCGTTGGCCTAGTGATCGTAGACGCGACTCTTGATCAAGGGTTCGAATCCCGGGTAGAGACAAAAAAGATCAGTTGTAGAGTTTTTCTGTAGAGATTTTTTTGGATTTTTTTTAAGAAATTTTCAGTATCAGCCCGGAGTTAGGAAGTTCAAGCAGCCTGGAGTCTGAAGTTCACCTTGTTTTACCCTCGTGCCTCGGAAAGCACGTAAAGCCATTGTTACGGCCTACGACTGCTCCCTTAAAGGTCAAATCCTCAGGGGCCCATTCAGCTGAGTTTCGACGAGCAGACGTAGGTCGGGCCTCCTCCAGGCCAAAGTGGAAAATCTCTAATACTACACTAAACTATATGGGGGAGCGTTCTATACTACGGCAATTCGACCGGGAGAATATTAGACGGAGCTTACTTACCTATATCCAAGGCGACTGGTCCCTCCGGAGTCGGTCAGGTCGCATGTGGTTGTGTAGTGCAAGGGAAATAAGGTGATGTGATGTGTATATGGGTGTGACTAATGGTGATTGACCCGAGTAGACCTTGGCCGTCGGCAGCAGCCCGGGCGTCGACACTGCTCCAAATTGAGGGAACCTTCCGCAGCGTTGTCCACAGTCACTTTCTTCGTTCGTCACGATGACAGTCCATTAACTCTATCGTACGATTAACTAACTTACAGAAGCCACTAACTCTCGTTTGTTATAAGGTTAACGCACAAAACGAACACGGAGTGTCCGGATCAAAGGTCACTACCGTTTCGCGTAGCAACAGTTATTTCTAGAATATCAAAGGCCGCACTAGCTAATATTGCCAAATGCACTTATGCAGATTCTGAGTCAGACACAATGAGTCCCTGGGAAGCTCTCCAGCAAGGAATGCGCGTCACCAATCCTAGACCGTATATTTACTATCCGCGCCTAATTATTCCGAGTTCCCTAACAAAATTGACAGTGTGCTGACGTTAGCACCGCTGACAGACGACTCCCTTGCACACGCGCGCGCTCGACACATCCAACCGTCAAACCGGTATGGCCCGAGCCGCACGCCCCCTAGATGTCGATTCCGACAACAGCGTTTGGCGCGAACAGCCATTGTTTCTGCGCCTGATCTCTCTCCAGTCGTGTCCGATTGCCGTCCCGTAGGATTAATTCCATCTAATTAAATAATTGTTCGGATTAATCCCAACCGCCAAATTTCACGAAAGCACATCGCGGCAGAACTCCCGATACCATCCACACCATCTGTATGATTGGCGGTCCGCCACTGTGCGATTTAGAAGATGTTTTCTTCCTCGCACAACTTCCTTGTGGAGTTGATTACCATCAGCGATGTTTCCGAACCGATACGACTTAGGGACCTTCGTGAAAAGAGCCTACTCCTTCTTAAAAGGCCGGCAACGCATCTGCAATTCTCCTGGTGTTGCAGTTGTTCATGGGCGGCGGTAGTCACTTACCATCAGGTGAGCTGCATGCTCGTTTGCCCCTTCTCCTATAAAAAAAGAGTGCATATGTAAATAGAGAGTACACTTGTGCTTGCACATGTGTATTTTCAGTTCGCATGTTCTCAGGACAGCATTATGGATAAGGACATTATACGTTAACCTGTAGTTCTAGCACTGTAGCCCTCGTAAAGCTTTTACTAAACTAGATGACTTGCGATAAATCGCTATTATAATTTATAAAAGAGCCCTACGTCCAGACTTGGATAGATATTTTTTCCACACCAGGATTTTCTCCTGCATCGTGGGGTCAGTTAACAAACATAAATTTAACTAAAACAAACATCCAGACCCGGAACAATTATTTGCAGGCCATACAAATACTTGTTTCGTGTGGTATTCGAAGCCGCGGCCCCCAGCGCTGCAACGTATTGCTAAGCCACTGCGCCACGGAGCTGTCACGTCAAGGAGCTCTATTGCCAATCGCTTGTCATACTTGGTGGTTCGTAAATTGTAAATAGTTACAGTAAGAGTTACAATAAGTTAGCAGGACGACATAATAAGGTTGCATGCTCACCTTCGGCGAGGGCATCACACTAAACGTGTTAACAATGCGGTCTGGATACTCCTCGCGAAGCTTACTCAGCAGTAGCGTCCCCAACCCTGAGCCTGTACCGCCTCCCAAGGAGTGAGTCAGTTGAAATCCTGGAAGAACGTTTTACTAAATCATTGAACAATGTTAGGGTGGCTAGGAAGAAGAATGTTTTATTAAGTAATAACAATAACAATTAGGGTGGCCAAAATTAAATTAAAGAAATAAGAGACTAAACAAACGATCCAAGCCCAGTTTTATGAGACCCGTGGTAGCTCGGTAGCTAAGCGCTTGCTTAGTAACCCGGGTTCAATTCCCACCGGCACCAATGAAAGTATTTCTCACTTCACATGTCTTCAAAATCACGATGCTTTCTTCACTTCATCACGTGATAAATCAACGTTTAAAGTTGCAATTAATAATTTCATTGATGCCGGCGGGGTTTGAGCCCGGGTTCGTGCCCGTCACTAAATAGTAATATAAGAATATTATTAAATAATTTACCCTGCAAGCAATCGCAAGGCTCGGCCTCCTTCCTCACAACATCCATGACAGAGTCCACTAGCTCCGCGCCCTCCGTGTAATGACCCTTTGCCCAGTTGTTACCTGAAAGTCAAATAATTTTCAATTTTTTAAAAATTAATTAATAGGTTGTAAACTAAATAGCCTGACGAACAGGGAATGGATTTAAGTCTTTGAAGTTTGCGTTCCAGTTCGCGTATATTTGTAAAAGTCAAAATAAAGCCGCAACTGAGTTATAGCTGGGTTATAGTGTCTGGGTTATAGTGTCGTAAGAGACAACGAAAAGAAAAGAACCAGCACAATAAAAGCACTATTTATAAAAGTATTATATTTATTGTGTTATTTTCTAATTTCAAAATTTAAAAAATCCATTCATTAAATCTTATCGATATCGACTACCTGTTGTTACCCACATCATTATGACGCTCCATAAGCCCAATGAGTGCGAGTGAGATAGACTGATTACAATAATTTATTGCTCGACGTCTCAGTTGATAACGCGGGCACTATAGGACGTATATTGCTATATAACTTTACTTTTATGAACGAGGTGGTTACATTACCATATACTGGAAGCCATGAGAGCATTATGTCATTTCCGACAGTTGATTCTTACGACACCTACATGGAGTAAAGGATGACAGCTATGATCATTATCATTACAGCCCTTCACAAGTCCACTGCTTAACATAGGTCGCCCCCAAGGAATGCCACAAAGCACGGTCCTGAGCCACCTGCATCCATCGACTTCCTGCATGTCTCACCAGGTCGTCACTCCATCTAGTGGGGGACGCCCTACACTTCTTCCGCCGGTACGAGGCCGCCATTCGAGAACATTTCTCCGCCTTCGGTTGTCGGTTCACTGTGTCACACTCACTCCAAATTTATTTCTTCCTTCTCCGCTACAACTGGTAACTGCCGGTTTTTTTACATGGTAGAGCCATGCTGCAGCTATATTAATAGTATAGTTGTAGCACGAATGGGTCGACTCGACCGTAGAAGAACCACGCTCTCATAGAATACCAGCGTAAAATAGCAGCTTAATGCTACTGTGTTTCGTATGGTGAGTGTAGAGAACGGGATACCATTTTTTCCTGGAAAAGAGGCATTCTACCTTAGTCCTCACGGCTGACAACGCATCTGCATTTTAATTCGCAAACGAAGATAGATGTATATGTCTATGGGCCACAGCAACCACTTACCATCAGGTGAACTGTGTGCTCGTTTGTCACACTGTGTGCTATCGTTTGTCACCCTTATTTTATAAAAAAAAACTATCCCGTAAACATGAGCATATTTAATAGCACAAAGAGATATCTCTGAACTCCAGACGTTTTGCATCTTTGAAATAGCTATACCACCATACGTCGCAGTGCGCAAGAAAAATATTTATATAGCAGCGCTTGCACTGCTGTGTGCTGATAGGAGCGGTATTGAGAGCTAGTATAATTACAGAAAAACTATTTTAGTCCTCAGAGGTGATAACGCACCTGTACAGATCCCAAAAAATAGCCGCTAGGAGATAGGGATCATAAAATGAAACTCAGCTATCAATTAGCAGTAAGAGTCAATAAGCATCGTATATTATGTAAAGAAACCTTATGTACTATTTGAAACAAATCTTTACAACGTGATATAAATAACACAAGCTATGGACAAAACGACATCTAGTAAAATTAAAATAAACTGAATATTGTAAACAAAGTAATTGACAGATTTCATACAGCACCTCTTCTTTGTTTGCGGTTGGCTGACTCTATCCTACAGTTGCCATCTAATATCAGGTGTACTGTAACTTCGTTTGTCACTTCAGTTTTTTTTTAAATACCTGGCCGGTACCGGACGCGGAGGGCGTTGCCGCTGCAGAAGAAATAATTATGGAAATATCGTTTTAAATGTGGAAGAGTTATATTGTTAGTTTAGTACCAGTTACTCGACTCCATCGAGTCAGTAATTCATTCTTGGGGCGAAGTATATAAAAGTATTATTTATAATCTATATTAAATAAAAAGTTTCTGTTTCAGTTTCTGTTTTAGGAATGATAATACAATGATTGAAGTTGAATGACAAATAACTTTCAAATAAATTTGTCGGTGCGATACATGCGCCACCTTCTATAATTTAATTGTACTGTGACCTTTGCGCAAGTGCCAGCAATAAGTTAACAAAGTTTGACCGCAATCTGACGAAGGGTATGGCAGTGCATAAAATACGCACAAACAAGCATTGATTTATATATATATTAAGATCTCATTTATCTTACCAGCACCGCTCTGTCCAAACACATAGTTATCCGGACGGAACAGCTGACCGTAGGCGGAGGAACGAATGGCGTCCATCGTGCCTGGCTCCAGGTCAACCAGGATAGCTCGTGGAACGAAGCGGCTGCCTGCATGTTAAAAAAGATTTACAATAAATAGATTTTTTTGCAAAACCCATTAAATGTTTTTGACAGTATAGTTAAATATACAATATTAAAAACTATAATTAAAAAAAAAATAAAACTAAAACTAGTAACTTAATTATCATACAGTCCTACTCCCCGCGGTATCGCGCCAAGAACGCTGGCTGCGTTTCCCCGCTGCATTCATATTATTCATCCATACTTAGCCTTTGAGCGAGAATAGAACCAGCCCTCTTATCACCAGCAGCAACGACCATCCGCGGATGTTGTTCCTTTAGGAACACCACCGCACGTGGACCACACCGACCGTCAGACACTACAGTAAATGGCACAAATATGTAGTCATCTCTCAGAGTTTGACACTTACTCAGTTCAGCTGCCTCTGATGCCGCCCTGGCTCTAAACGCGGTACCCCTGAGATGAGAGATCTCCAGTGTCTACGCAAGTAGCATCCCACACTAGGGCTTTATCGCTCGCCCAAGGGATCAATGTCATACCGTCGGGTCTCCTGCCATCGTCTCTAAATATTCAACAAGGCTCTAAAACCGAGGAAACATTTATAGAGACAAGAGCTCTTCGGATGACATCGTTTAAGGAATCGTGCCGTGAAAACGTAGTTTTTCAAGTTAGAGTATGTATTCTGTTTGTCTATTTCTTTGTTGCTTTCCAAAGTCTAAAAAGTCCACTGCTGAACATAGGCCCTCCAATAGATTAATTCATAGTAGGGGTTTTGTCATAGCAGGCGGGTTGGCAACCGCAGTTATTTTATTATTTATAGTTGTTATCAGAAAAACGCTGCCGCCTATCACCTATTTCGGATTCCCCTACTATAAACGTGTTTTACGATGGTTCGGAAACCCTCATGCGCGAGTCCGACTCGCACTTGGCCGGTTTTTGACATCACAATAACGTGGTAGAGTCTTGCTGCAGCTATATTAATAGTATAGTTGCAGCGCGAATGGGTCGGCTCGACCGGAGAAGGACCGCGCTCTCACAGAATACTAGCGTAAAATAGCAGCTTAATGATGCTGTGTTTCGTATGGTGAGTGTAGAGAACCCGGTGACACTTTTTACTGGAAAAGAGGCATTCCGTCTTAGTCCTCACGGGCGACAACGCATCTGCTTTAATTCGCAAACGAAGATAGATGTAGGTGTCTATGGGCCACAGCAACCACTTACCATCAGGTGGACTGTGTGCCCGTTTGTCACCCTTATTCTAAACTAGCTGTGCCCGCGGCGTAGCTCGCGTATACAGGTTTTACATAAAGAATTTGTCGTTTAGGTAAGATAATATTAAACGATTTATTTCATTACTGTATCAATAAGTGGTAACAAAATAAATCATTATCATCAAAGTTCTAAGTCGTTTATGATAGAGCTTTTGTGTAAACGACGTTAGAAGTAGGTTTAGCCGGGGTGTACACAAAAAGGTTACGGGGGCTACTAACGCGGGAAAAAGCAACATAGAGTTGGCCATGTGCAAAACAGTCAGTACTGAGGTACACTCCTACAACGCGTAAAGTTTGACGTTGCGCTTTATTTACGGTCATCGCATAACACACGCTCACTGTAACTGGGAACTGAACGCGCTTAAAACTGAAAGGAAAGTTACTTCTTAATAGAGGGTTTTTGGGCAGTGCTGCCAGATAAAAAAAAACTCATTCAGTTCTAGGACAACACAAAAAGCGCTAGATTTCATGAAAACAGCGCTTTAAAAAGCCCTAGATTAGCTAGATCGCGCTAAATTAACTACAAACAAAGTTTGTGTTTTTTTATATAATCATAATAAAGAAAACAACATTAAGTTTTTTTTCTGGCAATATTTTTTTGATGTATCAATACTTCGCAGGACATCGACTTATAATTATGGCAATTGCTGTCAACAGTAGTTAGTACTGTACGAACAATAAAAATGTCATTAATTGTTTTAAAGTGCAATGTATTTCGCAACTTAGTTTCAGATGTCAGCATCTGATTGCGGTTGCTACACAGTTTCTTTGTGTTATAAATTCTAAGTAACTTTTAACTAAGCTGTGCTCTAAGCAACTGACTGAAACTGAATACAGCAAAATAAATGCGTTGCTAAAACCATAAACGATAACTTTAATAAAGGGGATTTCCCCGCTTATAGTCGTCGGTAAAAAAATCAAGTTGATCATCCTAAAGGGGAAGCCAGGAGATCCATAGCACAGGGTATCCTAGTTTGGACTCGTCTCCTCGGCTCTTTGTTTTGTGGAAAAAATATGTTTGAAAAAGATAAACTGCAATGTACTATTTGTGGGAAAAAATAATAAAGGTCATTATTATTATTATCGGTAATGTGGACTAACAGTGCTGCTATAAAAGAGTTAATAACCCGCTAGTCGCTAAAATATTGAAATGTGTGCTAAATACACCAAAAAGCGCTGGATTAAGCGCTAGGTGCTAAATTTTCGAAATGCGCGCTATACATTCCAAAAAGCGCTAAATCTAGTTCCCAAAGCGCTAAAATGGCAGTACTAATTTTGCGTATATTATAAATACAATATCACGACATTTCGTTGCAAATTTTTTATTTTTGGTCGAGTTCTGTTGTGTCGCTTCGATGGATACAAATTTTTTCAGTAAGTCTCAATACGATTCATCGGCGAAAAATCTCAACACAGCAATTCCGAAAAGTTTGTAATTTGTACAACTCCATCTATTACGTCCTTTGTGTGAGAAAACATCCTTTTTAAATCTCTTCTTGTGTTTTAAGTATAAATATATTAATTATTATGGAACGTTTTTTTTACACACAAATCTTTTTATTACTATTTCTGAGATTTTATGGCGCCATTGAACAAATTCGAACCTACATTTCAAAATAATAATCTTTACTTTCGATAGAATTAACCAATTTTAATAAAACAAAGATTAAATGTAACTCGAAGATACGCTTTATGATTTTCTTAACGATTTCTTTGAAAATAAAAGATGTTTATTTTAGACGTGATGCGTTCATATAATAACAGACAAATAGACAGACAGACAATTCTAAAAATTATAAAATGTTCTTATTTAATTATTTTCAGTTCCCCATAATGATTTTAGCCACCAAAATATATATACAATGTACAGAAAGAGACACAACATGTTATCATCATTTTTATTATATGTATATATTTAAAGAGAGATGGCGCTGCTAACATCAATTCTAAAAATAAAAGAGATTAATTGACGCGATTGATACATTATATAAAACGTAAGAGAACTTATAAATCAGTGCCTGCACAGTAAGCAAAAAATAAAGTTTGACTTTCGCCAAAACCAACGCAATTGTTAATAGCTCTTTTAAAATTTGATTTACCACATAGAGTACTCGGCGGTAAAGAATAAATTAAGTTTGTCAACACGCAGTAGGGCAGCGAGTAATATAATAAAGATTAGCAGTAAATATGAAAACTCATCTACAGGAAAAAACCACATTTGCAATTATTGCATTACATTTTCACAACACCACCATCTATCGAAGAAATGGGTAAACTATTGTGCTTCAGATTTAGTTAATAACGTTAATATATTTTTGTATAATATATTTAATACGTTCTTTATTACTTTTGTTTACTGCGTTTTAGATATACATAATTATATCATTATTTTACATAATTTAACTATGATTTATGATATGATATTAGTTTAAAATGCACTTGATGACTCAAACAAAGCCACCGTTGAGCAAATTCGTACCTATACTTCCCTACCCATACTTCAGAATATTTATCATAACTTTTGATGGAATGAACTGATTTTAATGAAATAAAGACTAAATGTAACCCGAAGATACACTTTATAATTTCCTTAACAATTCTTATGATATAAATTAGTACTTTATACGTGATACGTTAACAAACAAACAGACAGACAGACAGACAGACAGACAGACAGAAAATTCTAAAAATGGTAGAAATGTATTTAATTACTTATTTTTAGTACCCCTCAATCACTTTTATTACAAAAATATAAAATGTACAGACATCTGCTATTTACAGTTTTATTATATGTTTAGATAAAAAAATCATACAACTGCATTTCCATATTATTTTATGTGTATTTATGACCAATTTCGTTTTATGTGTATTATCAAATAAATGTAAATTTTACCGATAACGGTAAAATGTTTCTTTATTTCCGTTTACTTCTGTCTTACCATCGGATGCTTCGTTGTAATACACCTGGATCCTCTCCAGCTGCAGCTCGCTGTCCCCGCGATAGTGCCCCGTAGTGTCGATGCCGTGTTCATCTGATATTATCTCCCAGAACTGAGGAATTTAAGACACACAGATTATTTTTATAGAAGTGAAAGTGAAAAACGATTACAAAATTTGTGTGAACGTACAAAATTTGTCAATAAACAAGTTTAACTGTTTTATTAAAGAAAAATTGTACAAAAAGGGTTATTATAATATCAAGGAATACATGAATGAAAATAACCCCTGGGAATAAGGTGATAATTGAAATTATGAAATTGTACGAAATTATTGTAAAGTAAAATATGTTAAAAATAAGGTCTTCTAGGTTTCTTGTTGGTTCTTCACAGAACAGAGGTATTTTCCAAACCAGTGGTAACTAAAAAATGACTTTCAATAAGTATTATGTAATAATCAATATTGTATAAAAATTATTCTATTCTATAACAGGTTTCGGCCTTGTCGCGGCAGGGGAGCGTGGTAGTAGTAGTTTGGTCACCCACGGTTGGCTCGAGGCAAACCCAAATTGGCTAATCCGAGAGGGCTTAGCTTGTCAATTCGGATGTGTATTGTGAACTGTGGGGAGAGGGGTGTCTTCCACCCCTACCACCACAGCTGAGGAGAAGTTGCGGGGGAAGAGGAGCATTGATATGGTGATGCGCCAATCTCCCTATCCTTCGTTGCTCTTACAAGGCTGCACAGTTGACGCGATGGTGGTGAGGATGCGGGGGGAGAAGAGTGTTGATATTCGCTGCGCCCCTCTCTGTACTAAGTTGAAATTTTGTCGACGGTGGAGTCATAGACCTGATCCACCGCTGGGGTCAGGAAGGCTGGTGCCTCTAAGTGCTCGATATTCCAGGTCCCATGATCTTCTCGTATATTGGACTCGGAGGGGTCCGTAGCACAGATGGAGTTGGAGGCCACATGAGAAAGAGAAGGGGGAAGAGTAGTCCTCTTTCGAGAAGGGGCCACCGTGTGGCGGCCAGTGCTGTTGGGGTTGCAGATGTGTGTGAATGAGTTCCCGTGGCCCTACAAATATGCGGCGATGTTTGAACACCATGGGGTTTTAGACAATGCAAGTTCGACATAACTGGCAATGACACTGGCAAGGACGGACCCCGAACTCGGGTGCGCAAAGGCATTTCCCCATGTAAACAAGCAGTAAAATTAAAAACGTTGTACAACCGACTTCAATATAAATAATTTAAAATTAAAAATTTTGTAGAGCCGACTTCAATATAAGTTATTTAAGAATAACTTAAAAACTATTGGTCTGACCTTGATCAAATTCATATGGGACCACACGAGAAGTACCAGCTTTCAAATAAAAAAAGAATCATCGAAATCGGTTCACCCAGAAAAAAGTTCTGAGGTAACACACATAAAAAAAAAAAACGAAAAAAAAAAACATACAGTCGAATTGAGTACCGGCTCCTTTTTGGAAGTCGGCAGATAAAATGAGAACATCATCAATGTCGTCGAAGTCAATTAAATACGCATTATTAAGGATAACTCAAAAACTACTGGTCAAACTTTGATCAAATTTATAAGGGACCACATGAGAATTTTTTTCCACGCTTTCAAATAAAAAAAAACATCATCGAAATCCGTTCACCCAGAAAATAGTTATGAGGTAACACACATAAAAAAACATACAGTCGAATTGAGTACCTCCTCCTTTTTGAAGTCGGTAGAAAAAAAGGTAGGGTGTAGCTATATTAGTAGTATATTTGTAGCACGAATGGGTCGGCTCGACCGGAGAAGGACCACGCTCTCACAGAATACCAGCGTAAAATAGCAGCTTAATGCTGCTGTGTTTCGTATGGTGAGTGTACAGAACCGGAGACCGACCGCCCGAGTGTAGAGAACCGGAGAGAGACTGGAAAAGAGGCATTCCACCTTAGTCCTCACGGGTGACAATGCATCTGCATTTTGATTCTTTATTGAGGATAAATGTCTATGGGCCACAGCAACCTCTTACCATCAGGTGGAGACTGTGTGCTCGTTTGTCACCCTATCCTATAAAAAAATGCTACACAGTGATAAAATACGATACAATACGAGCAGTGTCACAAAAACGGTCAGACATTTAAATTACATTCACGGCTCTAGCTACAATTCGAGCCGAGAATCTGCGACCTGGTAAAGTAAGTTTTTCACTTCTAATAGAAAATCTATTTTGGGTCAACATTACCGGGGTAATCATTATCATTATAATCATTACGGCCTTGTATAAGTCCACACTATACATAGGCCCCCAAAAGAATGCCAGAAAGTATGGTGCTGAGCCACCTGCATTCGTCGACTTTCAACTTTGTCAACGAGTCATTTACATATTCAGATTCAAACTCACTCTAGGCCTTTGAAATTAGCCGCCTTATCGGCATTGAAATTAAACTGTTAATTGCAATTTAAGGTGCTGACTTACAAAGTGATCTGTGTTTAAAGTTACATACTATATACGTCAAAGTGCTGAGCACAGGCCTCCTCTCATTTCTGAAAGGGTTTTAGGACAAGGAAGTGTCCGCCGCGCTGCCCCAATGTGTGTTGGCGAACTTCACATGTCTTCGAATTTTTTTCTCTTATTTCTCAATCAGGTTTCCTCACGATGTTTTCCTTCACCGCAGAGCACCTGGTAAATCAGCACTTAAAATTGCAATTAACAATTCCATTGGTGCCGGCGGGGATCAAATCAGATTGCTCGCATACTGTGAAATTTACAGCGAGCGCTAACCATCTGAGCTAGCACGACCGCGGCTCTTTGTAAAATGAGTGAAATCTACGCATGTCTGATAAATAAAATAATTTGAGGAGCTGTCAAGTCTAGCAACACGCGTAGGAATAGCGCGGCTGATTAATGAAGGCTAATAATTTTCTGCTCACTAGATGTCGCTAGTTGTCACTGAGGTAAGTTTTTTGTTACGCAATGTAATTTAATTGAGAAGTTGGTTTTTAATAAAAGTTTGTCAGTTTCTAGAGCATTAGGTATATTAATACACAAAATGCGTCAGTGGTTTGCTCTTTAATTTTTGCAAATTTTTACCTTTTTTTTTTATGTTTTCTACTTTTATGAATAAGTATCTGTGTTTTAGCTTATTTATTTTTAATCTTATTAATATGGAATATAGCTAATAATACAGAAAGAAACAATAACCTTTACATTTTCCAAACAAATTAACTTCCCGGCTATGAAATCTGTCAAATATTATACCTCACTTGCTAATGGCGCCGCCCTGGTGGCAGAAAAAGTTGTGGGCATCTACAACTTTTTCTGCCACCAGGGCGGCGCCACTAAAGTAATAACATAAAGTAAAGTTGTAGATGCATTCCTTGCGACAAAAGCCTTTCGGTAATAAAACTTTCTTTTATAGTATAAGGGTGACAAGCGAGCACACAGTCCACCTGATGGCTCTATAAGCATGGCTCTATCAAGTATAATAAGTACCGCGTAAGACTAAGATGTTGATTTGATTTTACTGTCGTCCGTATGTGGCTTTATATAAGAGAATGGTGACGATGATAATGAACATTTGGTTCATGACCAATCATTAAATCAGCTGTGGGGTGGTTGTGAGTTATCAAATTACCGTCGGAGCAGATGTGTTACGAGATTTTACGTGGTAGTGCCACGCTGCAGCTTCATTATGGTTGTAGCACGAATGGGTCGGCTCGACTGGGCTAGAAACACGTTCTCACAGAATACCAACGTAAAATAGCAGCTTAGTGCTTCTGTGTTTAGTATGGTAGTGTAGATGTAGAGAACCTTAAACCCTTTTTGCTGGAGTCGAGGCATTCCATCTCGATACTGAGAGGTGACACCGCATCTGCATTTGATTATATGAGGATAAATGTAGATATCTATTTGCCACAGCATCCACTTAGCATCAGGTGGACTGTGTGCTCGTTTGTTACCCTTATTCTATAAAATAGGTATATCGACCTTTTCTGTCACTGCTTAACTCTGGAGGCCTGTGCGCAACAGTGAATGTATATGGCCAAAACTTTTTAATTACTATTAACCATAACAATGAGAGCATCCACGACTTTTTCTGCCACCAGGGCGGCGCTACTTTACAGTGAGGTAAAATATTTGACAGATTTCATAGCGGGGACGATAATTTCTTAGGAAATTGTAACCTTTAAGGTTTCTTTCTGTATTATTAATTATATTTTATATTAATTACATTAGAAATGAATATGGTTTATTTAACTATAAATACTTATAACTAAAAGTCGATTTTTTTTAAAAAGATTTATAAAGTGCAAAAACACTGACGCATTGTGTTGTGTGTTAATATAATACTCTAGATAATGATAAACTTTTATTTAAAATTAATTTCTCAATTAACTGACATTGTGTAACAAAAAAAAACTTTACCTCAGTGTCAACTAACGACATCTGGTGAGTGGAAGATTAGTAACCCTCATTATGAACAATGCTATAAGCAAAGATATTAATTATAATAAAATATCTTTGGCTATAAGTCTTTTGGCACGTCACGTAAATCATGAAACAGTGACGGGTACTGAGTGGCCTATATGTACATTTGATGACGCTGCTTGTATCCGAGAAACTTCTGATGTACCTATTTATATAAATTCATCCATTAAATTCTATAAAATTTTACAGTCGCTTAGTTACCCTACACATGAGTAGCACCAGTACTAAGAGTTTTTGGAACAAGTGGCAGAATAAAAAAAATTGTACAATCGACTTCAATATAAATATAACTCAAAAACTATTGGTCAGACCTTCTTCAATTTATAGGATATATAGGACCACCTAAGATGCATCAGCTTTTAAATAAAAGAAGAATCATCAAAATCCGTTCACCTAGAAAGAAGTTCTGAGGTAACACACTAAAAAAAACCGTCGAATTGAGTACCTCCCCTTTTTTGAAATCGGTTAAAAAGGCGGTAATTCTTTATTCGATATATTTGAATGTGGTTATTTAAAAAAACAATGCAATATTCATTTAAAATGGTTTAACATTGTACACGACTGCCCAACCATGGCCCTAAGTCACGTCGTCGCGTAGCATTCGTAAGTAGAGCATAACAGACGTATAAATAGATTTTCATTTTAGTCGCGTCAAAGCACGTAGACAATAAAGTATAATTTATAAATATAATGAATATACGAATTTTTAAACACACCTTTGAACCGATTTGGTTGCCGCATTGACCAGCTTGTAGGTGCACTATTTCACGCATTTTTAATTATTTATTACTGTCTAACTCGTAAGAAGCAAAGGAAAACAAGAATACGTAGTAACTATTTTGAGAGACGGTGACACGTGGGCTGCCGATGTTTGCTTTGCTATTTGTTTGTAACATAAAAATGAACATTGTGTGTGATGTTTAAATAATGAAAAATTTACGAATAAATTTGGCTAATTTTACAGATTGTGATATTAAAAACTTTCTAACCAGCGTATGTTGAGACAAGTTCTATTTTGTTTGTCCGCTATCCATAAGTTGATTTTAATAGAAACTTTGAAAGAAAAGTTATTTAAAAAATATAAAAATAAGTAGGTATATTGTTTTCGATATGTTTTTTATATTTTTATATTTGTATTTTATAAGTATGTACCTTCCATAATGGAAAGTGTGCACACACGGGCACACTATATTTTATGATGTCTGTGTGATTTCGAACATAAGTAAATTATCATTAATCTGTGGTACAATGGACGTCAATTCAATTATCGATTCTTTGGTGGGAATTTGAACTGAGGGCGCAATTTTTTTTCCAAATTCAAATTATTTTGCTAAAAACTATTTAAATATCGTTTTTCTTAGTTGAAAAATCTTGTAAATACAGTATAATTAATACATTATAATAAAATACAGTATAGTCTTGTAAATACCATTGTATTATCATGTTAAATACTGAGACCGGGGGTGAAACCCCTCCCCCCAACCCCGGCCAGCGGCCCGGGTCCCTTAGGTAAAAGTAGTAGAAGAATGGAGTCCCAAATGCGTAAACGGCCGCGGGGTGAGGACTATTTTTTGAAAAACTCTACTAACAGTGAATTTCAAGCTTTTGTTGAAAGCACCAATAACAAAAGGCTGGGCAATAAGAGTCTAATATATCTGAACCATATTTTTACGACAGACATAAAAGTAGTGGGGTTCAAACGATATGTTATAGCTAATATTTTTTTTATTTTATAGGAGAGGGGGCAAACGAGCATGCGGCTCACCTGATGGTAAGTGACTACCGCTGCCCATGAACAAATGTAACACCAGGGGAACCAGGCGAATTGCAGATGCGTTGCCGGCCTTTTAAAAAGGAGTAGGCTCTTTTCTTAACAAACACGGCTTTCCTGGACAAGTTCGAACTGAAGGCGTACATCCCAGCGGCACAAAATGGGAAAATGGAAATCATTCGGTTTGTGCCGACCAATATGTCACATAAAGAACTATATTATAAGCTTTCGTCAATATATGAGATAATTGCTGCGCGTAGGTTTCTTAAGAAAGTTGGTCAGGAAAGGGTGCCACTACAGACTGTCAGCGTTAATTTCCTTGCCAATACTTTATCTGACAATGTGAAGTATCATTTGTTTTCCTACAGAGTCTTTGAATACATTCCACCTCTGCGACAGTGTTATAAATGTTTTAAATTTAACCATTCAGCCAAAGTTTGTAATGGCAAACAGCGCTGCGATCTCTGTTCAGGAGACCATCATTCTAATGTTTAGTGACAAACCCAATGACTTCAGTTGCGTGAATTGCAGTGTATCACATTTGGCAATATCTAATTTATATCCAATTAAATTTAAAATAAGTCAAGAAAATAAGTGTAAAAATAACTTATGCAAGCACTGTTGCCAAAAACAAAAGACAAACAACATGACAATGATTCTCCAGCTCTTGCAAATAAAATTAATGTTGATCCCAGTCGTCCTGCGTCTCTTGTACAGAAACCTGTAAATAAAACTCAGTCTGTAAAATCAGCCACATTAAAATCGCTTTCTTTAGACGATCTTAAAAGTCAACTTATAAATAACGCTGAAATCACTAACGCAATAGTTCGGACGCTTACACAGCGTAACTAGTAGATTCTAGACGCTTATTCCACCAGCAAACAAGGGGGACGACACTCCCATTAAAATAATGTCAATTAAAGATCTATAGATTAAAAACCTTACCATTTAATTATGGATAGTAGAAGCCTTAAAAAGCCTGTATAAAGTATATAACAATTAAATATACAAAGTATTTATATATAATACCCGTAGGATTCCTCTTTTGACTATTTACATGAAAATAACATAGATATTTGTCTCTTGAATCAAACTTAGTTAAAAGATAATCAGCCTTGTCGGATACCTGATTACAATATGTATGTATTTTAAGAATGCCATCAATGGACATGGTTGTGTAGCGTGTAGCAATTCTTACTAAAATTTTAAATACGAGATAATTTCATCAGCTTTTTATAAAGATTTACAAACTTTAGCGTTGTGATTATTGTCCTCCTTCAGGCCTTGTGAAAGTAAGGAATTTAAGTGATATTATACAAAATCTTCCCAAACTTATGTTTGTGGCTAGGGATTTTAATGCACATCATATTGCATTCGGATGCCTATCTTATAAAACTAGATGTGAACAATTACACAACATTATAGATGACTTAGATTTATGTAATATGAACCATAATGCCCATAGACTGAAAATTTGTCAGGAATATTCTTTTTGCTGAGTAAAGGTCAGCTAAGAACGGATTTTCTGAAATTCCACCCGCAAGGGGGTTGCGGTGGCGTTAATTAAAAAAATCACATTGTCAAACTATAGCTATGTATTTTTGGCATGTTGAAAATAACCAAGAACGGATTTCATGAAATTGCACCCACACATTAAAAATAAAAAATAAATAACTTTTAATCTATAGGTCCTTTAGTCTCTCTTAAAACTCTAAAACGGCTGGATTGATTATGATGAAATTTTTTGTGTGTGTTTAAGTTGTTTGTCTTGTTTCTGATCTAAAACATGCCAAACAAAATCGTTAAATTGTTGCTTGAGCTTCTTTGATGTTCAAGGGGTATTCGCTAATGTTCAACCAGGAATTATAGTACAAATTTTATCTAAATTAGGCATTCCAGGTTTACTATGCAAATGCATTTATAGTTTTCTTACTAACAGAACCCTATATGTACAATATTCTTCATGGACCTAGAACTGTGTCAAAAGGCACAACGCAAGGCGCCACATTGTCTCCTTTACTAGACAACCTTTATACATATCTAATATGTAAATAATGCAAATATCCTTTAATTTACTGATGACTTAGTTTTTTACAGTGTAAATTATAGGTACAGATTCTGCAATTGATAATGTAAATTTAACGCTCTTTAATTTATGAAAATATTATGACAACCTTAAACTTAAAATGAATCCACAAAAGAACAGATGTATGTTATTTATTAAAGATTTTCCTTCTACAGAAGTAATGTATAATGATTACGCTTTTCCTATTGCAAATGAACATAAATCTATATATAATATCTAGGTATTGTTATAGATAAAGAAATATCCACATTACCAAAATTTAACAAAAATCATTAAAACGTTTGAACATTCTTAAATGTTTAGCTGTGTCACATGGGATGCTGCTTCTCTGACAATTTATATTTTGTATAAAGCTATGTAAGAAGTCATTTTGATTATAGTTATATAACATATGACAGTAGGTATGTAAATAGGTTAGAAATAGTGCAGAATAAAGTCCTGAAAACTATATCTGAGGCTATTTTAATGCCTGGGAGAATTCATAAGATGCCTTAGGTATTTTCTGTGATCTTTCCAAGGCTTTCGATTGTGTTCATCATGAGACATTAATCAGGAAACCACAACATTACGGTGTAAAAAATTTGGCGCTTAGACTTATTACTTCATATTTAAGTAACAGAACTCAAAAAGTCGTGATCAATGGTAAAGGTTCCTCCGGATCGGTAGTATCAATGGGTGTTCCTCAGGGCTCGATTCTTGGCCCATTCTTGTTTTTAATCTATATTAATGACTTACCTTATCTTGTAGGGGACAATCACGATATAGTATTATTTGCCTCTTTAATTTTCAAACTCTAACGGCAGTTAATTAATTATGACGATGTAAATAATGCTCTATCCAAATTGGTACATTGGTTTAACGCCAACAATATGCTCTTAAACAGCATTAAGATAAAGTGTATTCAATTTACAATACCTAATGTAAAACATTCGAATACCAATGTGCTGTTAAATGGGGAGGAGTTGAGTCTTGCGGATACCACTGTTTTTCTTGGTATTACTATTGACGCAAAACTTCAATGGGGACCCCATATAACTAAATTAGCAAGCAGACATAGTTTTGAAGCATATGCTGTAAGAAAGATTAGAAGTCTCACAGATGTTGAGACAGCTAGATTAGTGTATTTTAGTTACTTTCATAGCGTAATGTTTTATGGAATTTTGCTATGGGGAAATTCGACTGATATTGAAGCTATATTTGTTTTGCAAAAGAGAGCCGTACGGGCGATTTATAACCTAAATTGTAAAGAGTCCCTCAGAGAAAATTTTTAAGAAATAAACATATTAACTTTGGCATCGCAATATATTTATGAAAATGTAATCTACATAAAAACATAAATAGCTTTAACAAGAATAAGGATGTGCATACTTTAAGCACTAGGAACAAACATAAGCTTGTAATGCCAGTTACTAGACTCCACAGAATCGGTAATTCATTTATGGGGCAATGTATACGCTTTTACAACAAAATCCCAGAACATATTCAAAGTTTGTCAATAAACAAGTTTAAAAGTTTTATTAAAAAAAAACTGTACAAAAAGGGTTATTATAATATCAAGGAATACATGAATGAATATACCCCCTGGGAATAAGGTGATCGCCACTATGCTGGTTCTGTGAAAAATCATTTAAAAATTGTAAGTGAAATATGTTTGAAAAAAAAAGCCCCGCCGGGTTTCTTGCTGGTTCTTCCCAGAACAGAGGTATTTTCCGGACCAGTGGTAAATAAAAATGACTCTCAATAAGTATTATGTAATAAACAATAATGAATAAATAATGATTCTATTCTAGTCTATTCTAATGTACTCGACTCCAATTGGAGCCATGGAGGTCGAAACAGTCATAATGTCACTTTCACTTTGACGGTTATTTCTATTAGAAAAGTTCTGTATAAAATTTTTATCAAGTAATAATCAACCATTAAAAAAGTCTTACCATATCATTTAACTGTTCAATCTCCCTTTGGGTTTTGCATGAGATTTGTTTTGTAATTAGTTTCCAACATTAACCCAAATTCTTGTAAACCTGCAAACACAATATCAAAATATACATAAATAATGCGTGTGGCCTTTGTTTTGAAACAAACAATGTTCAGTGCTACTAAATGAGGTAAATATAATTAAAATATAAAGTGAGAATAATTGGAATTTACATGTATTTTGAGATGATGTACCTTGTATACAGATGTCAGTAAACTGATTCTCATGTAAGGAGCGCTGTATCTGATCCCCAGATAAAGTTCTGTCAGAGCTTTCATCTGGATAATAATTTTACTATTTTTTAAGGCAGATGTAGTCTTTAAAGTTCTGAAGCGAATTTATTCTGTAAATAATTATAAATATCTCCTTATATTAACCGACTCTCGATTTAATTTCTTTTTTTAAATGAAAATTACTCAATTCATTTTAAAACTAACTAGATCGTGTTTAATATTAAAGAACTAATACTTAACTTGTCAAAAAAGAGTTTTGGAGTCGCTGTTCGCGCTACTTTTGCACTACCGCTTAACGCTTATGAGATTTGTTAATTATTATCCAATAAGAGTATTGCAAGGCTCATTTCAGAGTTTCCTATCTACCGCCTTTTATCCCTTTAGCATGTGCACTATTGTGTTAAAGGGGTTCCCATAAGTTCAGAAGACACGACACCAACCGCATTGATCCTATCTCACGTCATCGCTCTCGCCTTTGTGTAATTTCGATATTAAACTATACCAAAATCATCGTAAAGTGTATAGACATTTACTATAACGCTATATTTTGGTATTATCTGTGAACTTCATATGTGTGAAGAAAGCCGGCCGTCCAATCATTGTGGCTGCATCCCTTGCAATACGAGGCAGATCAGCGTAAGTCCAGGTGAGTGTACATGCATTCTTTCACATCCTTCCTGTAGCCCGAATTTAAGGCATTTGCAGAATCGGGAAATAGTAAATTCGCACCGCATCATATGGTCCATTAATTTACGTATAATCAAAAATTTCATTTAATTAAATTTAAAAAGGTCATTTAACCAAACACACCATATTTTGGCCCGTCGCCTGGGTTAGAACCATTTTTGGTCACTTCGGCCGGAATAATTTTAACCATTTTCTGGGCCTCCTCGTTGAATTATAATTAATTAATTATCCAGCCGCGTTTATGTGGATTCCTTCACATAAATGTATTACTGGAAATGTAATCGCTCATAAGATTGCATGTAAAGGAATAAATCCACTTGATGTAAGCCATATTTTACCTTTACCTATTACTTATTGTTACACTGAAATAAGAAAGAAAATCCTTTTATTATGGAAATATATGCGGAAGAAGGACCAAGAAAAAAAAGGCAAGTAATAAGTATAAGGAAGTATCCAGGAAGAAATACCTGTAAAGCCGTGGTACGCTAATATGAACGAAGCAAGCCGTAACTATATTACTGCGGTTCGGCAACCATAAAATTCCTGCACACCGATACACAGATATATTATAATTATATTACATTATAGTGAAGTGTGTGACGGTGACAGTGAAAGTGAGCCCATCGCAAATAATGACCCCTGACGCTTGACTGTGTTTTTGAGGAATATGAAATATTTTTTCCTATTTACAAATACATTAAATCCACAATAGAAAATCTGTAAAAACGAAGTTACCGAATGAAATGAAGATATGGCTTAAAGAACAAGCATTCAGGCTTAAAATCTAAAAAAACAAATCAATTGTCATTAACTTGTCAAACAATGTTACGAAGTGATAAAAATCGTAAAAATCTACATGATTTCTAGTGTTGTTGATTAATAGAATATAAAATATACTTTGTTAACTATAGTAGTTATATTATAATGTTATTTATATGTAGATATTTAAATTTAGTAAGTATTTTGGGTTAAAATGTTTTGTATTAAAGTGATAGAGGGAATCTTAAATCAAGACCTTTATTTCTTTTGTGGTTTTCATTCCCGATAAACTTATGACGTGTTGTGGTGTACTATAGCAATTTTATAGTTGCAAAAACGTTTTCACGTAAGTAAACAAATTGTTTTGATCATAAAATAAAATTATTAAAACGCCTTGTATTCGCGGGGTAAGAATATCCACTACCCCATATCGTCCTGTGGGAGAAGAAGCGACGGAGGGAAAAACCAGGACATGGGCAGCGTTTTCCTAATAACAATTAGAAAACTGTGGTTGCCAACCTGCAAGCCTCCCCTTATGTGCTTATTAAGCATATAAGGGGCCTGTTCGTCTGTGGACTAAGCTGTAATAAATAAAAAAAAATTCCTAAATAACAGTCCTTTATATTAGAACAAAATAATTGTGGTAAGAATATTTATTTGATTGTCGACCTTCATAGCATTATATTGGAAAGACTTTCCATTTACTCCCATCGAGTTGCGGGTTGATACCTATTTTTGCAGAAAAGTTACACTATTATAAGCACACACACAAAGTTACAATATGCGGAAGCGTGTAATTTTTGAGAAAAAAGTTATTGAAAATCAATTATTCTTACATTCTTTATGTCTAATCCTACAATAAAACTGACGCCATTTTTTTTATTGTTATTGTCAGTAGGGATGTCGATCCTTCCCGAAAAATATCGATTTTTTAAATAGATTCGAACTGTAAGCTGATATATCGATTCCCGAAAAATCGATTTCTAAAATATCTATATTTTTTCATGTTTGCATTTATAATGTAAATATAAATCCATTTTATGAGAAAAAAATCCCCTTCATCATAAAATATAGGGGGACTGATTCAGAAGGATTTCTGTACCTATTTTGAGACTGCTACGTCTCCGGCACTGCGGGAAGAGCAGCCTCTACGCCTTAGCGTAACAAATCGCAGGCATCCCTCCTCGCCTCCGTTGTTACAGCAGACGGAGGCTGCTCCCCCTACGCGCCTCCGGCTCTATAAAACCACTCTAGGGGTAGGACAGACTCGTACCAGGTGGAGTCGGGGTCAATCAATTCGGTTCTTTGACATAAGTTGAACCTAACCTATTTTATTTGTTATCTGCCCTAATTGGTACTGTTAAAATAAAACAAAATTCAATAAGAGATCATTTATTATGGTATCTTTCTTGTTTTTCATAAAATGGAATTATATTTACATTATAAATGCAAACATAAAAAATATAGATATTTTAGAAATCGATTTTTTATGAATCGATACATCAGTTTACAATTTGAATCTATTTAAAAATCGACCCTTTTCGGAAAGAATCGACATCCCTACTGACGACAATGACATTACAAAATGGCGTCAGTTTTATGGTAGGATTAGATATAAACAATGCAAGAGTAATTGACTTTCAACAACTTTTTTCTCAAAAATTTCGTGTTTCCGCATGTTCTAAGTTTGTGTGTGTGCTTATAATAGTGTAACTTTTCTGTAAAAATACGTATCAACCCGCAACTCGATGGGAGTAAATGGAAAGCTAAGCCATTATATTTAATGTGGGTTTTATTTAAAGTAGGTTTTTTGGCTTGAAAGAGTGCCATACGTATTATTAATATTTACGTGGTAGAGCCATGCTGCAGCTATATAAGTGGTATAGTTGTAGCACGATTGGGTTGGCTCGACTGGGGAAGGACCACACTCTCCCAGAATACCAGTGTAAAATAGCAGCTAATGCTTCTGTGTTTCGTATGGTGAGTGTAGAGGACCGGAGACCCTTTTTACTGTAAACAAGGCATTCCATCTTATTCTTCACGGGTGATAATGCATTTGCATTTAATTAAAAATTGAGGATAGATATAGTTGTTTATGGGCCACAAACAAGTCCACAGTCTACCATCAGGTAGACTGTGGACTTGTTTGTCACACTTATCCTATATGTATATAAAAACCTGGAATTATTGGTTGTTTTATTTCAACTTTATGATAAGACAAAAACAGAGATCAGTCGATGAATTCATTACGCTGTGAGTTTATGACTCATCTTGTCACATGTACCTTAAAACTTAAAAACAAGACTGTTGTTAGTGATGACATATGAATCTGAGACATTGGTCCTTTACTGCTGGCCGCATAAGGAAGCTCAAGGTATATAGACTCCGTAACAAGGATATCCGCAGTAGAACCAGAGCGACCGACATAGCCCAACTCGTAGCTTAAAGAATGTACAACCTATACATAGACCCATAGACATCTACATTTATCATTGTTTGGGAATTAAAATGCAGATGCGTTGCCAGCTGTGAGGACTAAGATAGAATGACTCTTTCCAGTGAAAAGGGTCTCCGGTTCTCTACACTCACCATACGACACAGCCGCGTTAAGCTGCTATTTTATGCTGGTTTTCTGTGAGAGCGTGGTCCTACCGAGGACCAATATACTACTAATATAGCCGCAGCATGGCTCTACCACGTATGGTAAATTTTTATGCTATTTTTTTAGAAGTCCTTATTTCACATAGACTATTTCTAACCGACTTCAAAACGGAGGAGGAGGTTCTCAATTTGTCAGAATCTTTTTTTTTATGTATGTTCACCGATTACTCGAACCTATTTGGAAACTTCCTTTTTAGTTTCAAAGTGTCCCAATTAAATTTCCCAAAATCGAAAATATGAAGTCGGTTGTACAATTTTTTTTATTTAATCATTTGTTATGAGTTGCGATGGGGTGATGATGATGATGAAATGCCTTTGTCGCAGTCACATGGCAAGTGTTTGTTTTCACTACGTTTTTACTAATTCACTTTCGTGTATGTCTGTCTGTATCATATATAATAATTGATTTTAAACCAAATTCCTGATGATATAGGACTTGACATTTTGAACATAGCTCATTCGGATAATGTAAGAATATGAAAAGAAGAACATGTTACATTTAACAATTTTAATTTTATGGTTAATTATTATATCTAAAAAGATATTCACGCAATCATTATGACTACATTTCTCTTTATTGTTAAATTTGATCATCCCTTTGTGTCATTTCCAGATGAAAAATGGAGGAACCGGTGAATATAGAAGTGTCCATAGACATGGAGATGCCCGTCAAAACGGATGTGTCTGTGGAAATGGAAGAGCCAGTCAAAACGGAGGAGCCAGTTAAATCGGAAACCACCACTTCATCACAACCACTAAAATTCATAAGCGTCACCAGTTCAGTCCTTACAGATGAACAGCGAGAAATGTATGAGTCAGTCCTTGCCACGTGGAAGCCTGTCATGTTTCCCAAACGAATGAAACGTTATATTTGTGAGAAATGTAACAAGGAATTCAAAAACTACCAGAATCTCTACCTTCATACCACGAGGGTTCACTCCTCCGAAGAGTCTGCTGTCATTTGTGATATTTGCGTCAAAACATTCAAAAATAAACATTATTTGTACATGCATAGAATGAATAAGCATTATTCAGAGTCCGAAAAATGTTACTGTCAGTTCTGCCTCCAAGAATTTCGTACTAGAAGGGCGCTCCACATGCATGTTAAGCGCGCGCACCCTAATACTCTTCCCGAAATCAAGTGCGAGCAATGTGGTAAGGAGTTCAGCGTGCCCTACAAACTTCGATACCATATAGACGCCTGCCACCGAGACGACAAAGAAAAATATAAATGCCACGTTTGCGAGAAAGTTTACAAAAGTCACCTCAACCTGAACAGACATCTGCATTTTCAACACTCGCAAGTCGAAAGACATCGCTGCGTCTTTTGCCCGATGACGTTCAAGTCCCGTCATCATATGAAGCGTCATATTTTGAACATCCATCCACCTTTAGAATCGAAAGTGCAATGCCCAGAGTGTTTGAAAGAGTTTAAAAACGACCAGTACCTCAAGGAGCACATGCAGGTCCACACTTCTTTAGAAAAGAAGGTGAAGTGTGATTTGTGCGATAAATTCTTCCATTCCGCGGTGCGTTTGAAGAAGCACAAGAAGATAGTGCATCCGGACAAGCCAAAGATACGTTGTGAAAAGTGCGATAAAGAATTTGCGCACGCGCATTACCTGAGACGCCATAACAACTCCGTTCACGTGGAGGTCGACGAGACGAAGTATGAACACGAGTGTGGGCAATGCGGGAAGAAATTTAAAATCAAGAGATATTTAAACAACCACTTGCAAAGGCACGAGCAGCAGCACCTGAAACGGATTTCGCAGATGGTAAAGACGGTGATGGGTGATGAGGTGCAGGAGGTGAAGGTGCCAAAGAAGCGGGGCAGGCCGCGGAAGGCGAGGAAGGAGATCGAGTTCATCAAATGCGAACCAATGTCCAGTTCCGAATCGGAGTCTGATGAAACTGAATCCGAGGAATCTGAGTGAACTAAAATAATACGTGCAAAGTTACCTTAAAGGGGTGACCAAAATTGTTTTTTAAGGTGCATCAAAGAAAATTTAAGCTCTGTTTGTAGAGCTATAGTTCTAAAGTGAAAAACTTTGTTCATAAAGTTAACTTTCTATTCTTATATTTAGACCGAGGTCTACTAATCTAAAATTTGTTCGGCGCGAGTTGGTAATCATTATGAAAACGTCTCGCAATAGGGACTGTCGCTTAAGTATCGCTATCTATATGTGACAGATTGCAATACTTAAAGAGACAGAGTTCGTAAGCACAGAGTTTTGTGGCACGAGGAACGCATCTGTTGTTAAGCGCGAGGCCGGCGAGCTGACACGACGGTAATGTTGGTCATAAAGTTCTAATATAATCGGGGCATCCACAACTTTTTTGCCACCAGGGCGGCGTCACTTCGGCGTAAGGTGAAATATGTGACAGATGTCATAGTGGGGAAGTTAATTTGTTAGGCAAATGTAAGGGTTTGTTTGTTTCTTTCCAAAATATTTGTTGTATTTTATATTAATTAGATAAAATTGATTAACCAAACTACGGATATTCGTGACTGTAAGAGAATAAAAAAGAAAGTGCAAAATATTTAAGAGCAACCACTGAGGCATTGTTTTGTGTAAATAATAGCGCTAGAAACTGAAAAACTTTTATTTGAAACGCAACTTTTCACTTATAGTTACGTAAGTAACAATTATTTTAACTTCAGTCCTAGCTAGCGACATCTGGTGAGCGATAGATTATTAGCCCTCATTAACGGGCAGTAATTTGTTATAAGTTTAGAGACCCTGCTTTTTGGGGTTCCGTACCCGAAGGGTAACCAACAGGACCCTATTACTAAGCCTCCACTGTCCATCCATCTGTCCGTCTGTCTGACTGAGGGCTGTATCTCATAATTCGTAATAGGTAGACAGTTGAAATTTTCACAGAATGTGTATTTCTGTGGCCTCTATAACAACAAATAATAAAAATAAACTAAAAATTAAAGCTCCCCTACTAGAAACGTGTTTTACGATGGTACCAGAACCCTTTATGCGCTTTTCCGACTCGCACTTGGCCGGTTATTTATCAACTCTCGCAGAACACTACAATTACTATCATAACCTACTCTATCAATTTCTAGCTATATTAGAGAATATTAACTTTGGCACAAATTTTAGTTGTTGAAGTTGGTTCAGTTACTAAAGTTATATTGCCAGATTGCTTTAGTATGTTTGTACTCTTCTATCTTGCCGTGTAGTGGCGGTGTAAGACTATAAACTACTCTATATGATCCCGTGGGTGTCGTAAGAGGCGACAGAGGGAAACAAATCAGGAGATGGGCAGCAGCGTCTTGCTAATAACTAAAAAATAAAAAAACGGCTATTGCCTACCCGCCTGTCAGGCGTGGCAATGATGGCAATTATCCCCTTTGAGGCAATCTATGGGGGAGGCCTATGTTCAGCAGTGGACTTGAATTTGCCGTAACTGTGCTTCTACTAAAGGAAGTGTAACCTCGATCACTAATAAAAAACTAGATACACGATCCCATGCGAAAGTTCTCTAAAAACTGTCGCCAACATAGGTACGGTAGGATTAGACATAAACATTGCAAGAATAATTGATTTTAAATAATTCTTTTCTCAAAAATTACGTGTTTCCGCGTGTTGAAACTTTGTGTGTGTGCTTATAATAGTGTAATTTTCTGTAAAAATGCGTATCAACACCCAACTCGACGGACGTCAATGGAAAGCTAAGCCAGGACATTTCTTGTCACCGATTGTGTATTTAGTTTTTTTATTAGTGATCGATGGAGTGTAAGGTGGAATATGCCAACATTTACATCAAGTGAGTTAGCATTGCACACAAACTGGAGTTGGCACTATCCAGTTAACACAAACAATTACCCAGTGGATTGTAAACACATTGTCATTGTTTGTAATACGTTTCCCTTAGTTGACTTTCATAATAATAATTTCCTTCAGACCGAATTTAAGTCACGACGGAGACTAACCATCTGCGTAGGGCAGAATTATAGTGCCCGAGTGTATGTAACCATAGGTCCACTCTATTGTCTCACTCTCATAGTCCGATGTGACCGGACAGGATCAACAGCCACCTGGGTAAAACACCGCCAACTTCCTGACTCCGGACAAACTCTCTACTGAGAATTTCTTGACAGAAACTCAATAACTTTATTTTCGCTTTGGCCCGACCTGCGTTCGAAGCCGGGACAGCATAATCAGCAGTCGCGTTTACGACGAATCTTATAGAACTTATATGAGATCAAGTGATGTATTAAATGTGGTGCCATTTGTCACCTACTACCCATGATCGAGATTCCTTTAATATGAAAGTATGAACTGTGAACATTATTTTATACGTGGTAGAGCCAAGTCATAGCTATTTTATGGCTTCGACATAAATGGGTCGGTTGGACCGGAGCAGTACGACGCTCTCACAGGATACCGATTTAATGCTGCTGTGTTTCGTATGGTGAGTGTAGAAAACTGGACCCTTTTTACTGGAAACGAGGCATACCATCTAGGTCCTTAGGGGTGACAGCGCATCTGCATTTTAATTCTTAATCGAGGACGAATGTAGATGTCTATGGGTCACAGCATCCACTTACCATCAGATGGACTGTGTGCTAGTTTGTGACCCTTGTTCTCTCAGCTCTAGCCTCATGGGTGGGTTTTTTATTATTTTAAGCTGTGTAAGAACATGCTGATTATGTTCTGTTTCAGTTTCCCTCTGTCACCTCTTTCGAAACTCTCGCGGGATTATATATATACTTTTTCGCCGCTATTAAACGGCAATTCCAATTATATATTACAGTTTAAAGTATATTTGTGATAATATTTTGTCAATTTTCAAGGGTTTATGTATAATAATTTTATAGTTATAGTTTATGTACATTGTAACATGGGCAAATAAGCAAGAGGACTGATGAACCGCAAAAAGGTCTAAATACCTAATTAAAACCAGATGGCGTTGATTTATTTTTTATAAAATAGGATAATTACCAATTTATGCTACAGAATTTCCCAATATTTCGTATATTTTTTTAAATATTAAGTTGCTTATTTGTAAATAACATACTAGGTATTTTAGTATGTTATCTTTTATGCCGTTTAACAGTCCTCTGGTATATAGTCATCTATAATAGTAGTGATATCAATGGGGCAATTGTAACTAATATATAAAATTTAAGCGTTTTTAAATATTACAGAAATTATAAAAGATTAGAATAAATTAGTAATAAGCGCCGCGTATTTCAATTGTGAGCAATCTTTATTTTTATTTTAAGAAATTTATGGATGCAGCGATAGGTACCTTACGAATTGGAAACATAAGCGTCGATGAAATTACCCGAGAAATGGGGAAATGGGACGGGGAGTATTTCAAAAATATTTTAACTATTGCAAAAATTATTGCATCGCCGTAACAGCAGCCACTAGTGCTATTTTGAAAAAGAAAAACTTTTGTGCTATGCCATTACTAAAGCAAATTACAAATATACGTTTTTCACTTGAGGACATTTTCATGGGACCTAATATGATAACGTATCCACTTGCTTCGATGTCGCACGTCCTCTACGTTTAAATTGACTTAACCCGGCCCTAACTAATGCATTACATAATGCAGGGCGGCCAGTGTTGCCCGATCTCACTAAATCTGAATTTAATGTGATTACATTTCTCAATGTTGCAGTACTTTATTGTCCTATCGGGAAACATAATCGGCGCTTTAATCCTTAAAATCGAATGGGATTTTCTCTTTCTATTTTCGAAATTTATCTTGCCCTACCATTACCCATTAATATTATTATAATTGTTAATATTGTAAATATTTGAGAATACTTTTACGATTGTTTCGAAGAGGATAAGTTTTCCAACCTTTTGCGCGTGTAAAGTCCAGCTGTGAATTCTCTTGCATTTGATATACAGATTAATAACGAAGAATTTATTGTCTCTGGTTATGGCGATGGCGTCATCCAGACCTTAGTTCAGAAGCGATTCATTCGTAATTTTACATTGCTGAAGACAATGCATGCTTGCATTTTGTCAAGAGAAAAACCATTCATTCGTTGATATTTGTTGTTAATTCTCCTGTGTTTACTTTGGGATCTAAGGCACTGTAATATATCTTGCTAAGACAGCTGTAATATGGAGTACGCCGCCGTAGTTTTTTCGAAACAAGATTGTCATCTATATACTGTACATATAAATAAAATTGAAGTGTACGTAACATAAACACTCACGCCTGTCACCCAGAGGGGTAGGCAGAAACTACAGACTTCCATTTGGCACGATCCTGACACACCCCTCTCGCCTCCTTTACATCCATATACCGACGCATACACGTTCGTCGGTTTAGGGTACACCTAATCTGGCCCATTTTCAATATATCGCCGATTTGGTCCATAAACCTTCGTCTAGGGCGTCCCTTCCTGACTCTGCCGTTCACTTCTGCAACATAAATTTGCTTTGTCACTCTTTCCTCGTTCATTCTTTCTACATAACCAAATCTTGAAGTGTCTGTCTGTAATATTGAAATAACTGGCATCTGTTAAGCACAGGGATTATTTGAATGCTGTTGAAAGATAAATATTTTTCAAATTTTTGTCTGCTGTCTGTCTGTCTGTCCGGGCTATTCTTCGAAATGTCTGAAGCGATTGTGGTGAAACAGTTTTAAATTACAAACTGAACACAAGCAATGCCAGGAAGGATTATATTTTATCCGAAGATTATTGAAGATTTTTTTTGAGAAAACAAATAATTGATAGAATAAATCTTAAGAGAGACTCATCAATATTAATAGATCATATCCAGGCGAAGCCGGGGTGGGTCGCTTGTTTGTAACATTTTACACACATTTTAGAACTTCGACCTCTTCTTTTAAGTCGCTATAAAAACTTATGAATGAGTTTTTTGTAAATATAGTATAAAAAATTAATGATTCATCCTTTAATCTTTTTAAATTCTCCAATCTCTATGGTTCCAGTTTTGTGGAATGCTAAGTGAATGTAGTATATTGCAACTAATGCGTGCAACGAGTCATCGTTTATGAATATAACTTAACACAGTTGTAACAAATGTAATTTTGTCACCTGTCAAATTATGGTTTATATGTCATAAACATATATTAATTATAAACTAAAAAGTTTTGTGTCCAATATGTAGCCTGATTCATTGTATACTAGTTTCAATATGCCACATGGCATTAAGTCCGCCGTTTGTACCTTTATTACAATAAAGTGTATAAATACATAAACAATATAAGCCTTATTTATTGCATGCTAAGATTTAGTTTTATATACACTCACATCGCATCATAAATAAAATGATTTTTTTTGGGACTGTTTGGCCGGTTTTCAACATTATGCCACCGTTTTTAGATATTGTTATATAATTTTTACGACAATTTATAAATGTTTTCATTATTCATCAAAATGGATGAAATTTGTTTTTGGTCCTTCAAGCCGGATTTGTAATAGTGATCAGTAGTAAAATTTACATTTATTCATATTAAAATTAGCATAGTAACGTTTTATTCATGTTTGAGTATACTTTAATAATTACATTTAAAATTCTATCGTTATATTAACGTAGTAATAGTGCCTTTTGTCACACACACGCCCACGAACATTTTGTCACACACACGCCCACGAACATTTTGACAGGTGTCAAATTTAGACACTAATCGCTTGAAACGCGCATAATATACTTTAGATACATAATTATATTAAAACAAATTTTATTGTAAATAAGTAGAAAACTTTATTGAATGTGCAAATAAATGGTTATTTGGAAGAAATAGTTTTGTATATTTTATTTATCTAGAGCGTTCTTAATAGTCAGTAATAAGAATTTTTTTTATTGACTATTAAAAGAACTTGGAAGTTGGAATGGGGGGAGGCGGAGGATTCCCTGGAATTAGGTATGAATCTCACGAGCATCGTCTTCTCGTGGTCAAGTCTCCGTGGCACTGTGCTGTTGGCGATGCTGCCGACTTTTTAAGCACCACAAACCGAAACTTCTGACAATATTTTCGAAGGTACCTCTAAATATACAGCATGTGTGCATTTTAAAGGGTTTATCTGTCTGAAATAACTACCTTTTATCGAGCTCAGGGAGGTTATTTGTATGCCATTAAGATATGAACAAGCATTTGTTATATTTTGTCTGTATGTCCGGGCTGATTTTTTTTTATAAAATAAGGGTTATTTTATAAAAATAAATCAGCCCGGAAAAACTAGCACACTGTCCACCTGATGGTAAGTGGTTGCTGTGGCCCATAGACATCTACATTTATCCTCGTTTGTGAATCAAAATGCAGATGCATTGTCACCCGTGAGGACTAAGATAGAATGCCTCTGTTCCAGTAAAAAGGGTCTCCGGTTCTCTATACTCACCTTACGAAACGGCTTATGCTGGTATTCTGTGAGAGCGTGGTCCTTCTCTGGTCGAGCCGACACATTCGTGCTACAACTATACTACTAATATAGCTTCAGCATGGCTCTACCACGTACAAAATACTTTTAAATATACAGCATGTGTGCATTTTTAAGGGGTTGTCTGTCTGAAATAACCACCTTTTATCGAGCTAAGGGGGTTATTTGTATGCGATTAAGATATGAATAAGCATTTGTTATATTTTGTCTGTATGTCCGGGCTGATCTTCGGAATCGCTAAACCGATCGTGATGAAACTTCACGAACAGATAGAATCGATGTCAGGAGTGATGTAAGATAAATCTTATCCGAAATACTTGGATATTTTTTGTGGAATAGAACAATTAATGAAATAAGGCCATTGACACTTAAAAAAATTGAATGACGCCATATTAATAGATGCCATCTGTTTTATTTTATAGGATAGGGTAACAAACTAGCACACAGTCCACCTGATGGTAAGTGGTTGCTGTCAGACATCTACATCTATCCTCGTTTGCGAATCAAAATGCAGATGCGTTGTCACCCGTGAGGATTAAGATGGAATGCCTCATTTCCAGTAAAAAGGGTATACAGGGTATTTTTGGAACGCTCCCGAAAACTAAGACAGGCGACAGCACCAAGTATACCTTTGATCATGGGTCACAAATAAATTCGATCCTGATGAAAAAAAAATCATCTTTTAACAACGTTTTATTAGCTTTATTCACGCGCCATCATGTTAGTACAGCTAAATGAAACGATAATTTCATAAAAAATATCATGAAAATACTGAAACATAAAACCAGCAGTGGAATGACTGAATTGTATCACCTGACTAAAGGTCAATGTACTCGCGAACGCAAATTCGCGCGGCCCGCAACTAGCGGGCCATACCACTACATACGCTAATGAAAAAATACTTAAATGAAATGTAACCAAGGTTGGAGTCATGCGTTTTTATTCATCGTGTAGGTATGTTTATTATTCTCATGTATTCAGTTATGTACCTATTCAGATTAGTTCAGTACTAAGTTATTTAAAAAAAATAGTTATGAAACAGCTTACCGCTCTAAATCCTCCGTGGTCTTATGAGATGCAGCTCAAATTGTGCTCCATTCATTTCAAGGTAGATTTGGGTGCAGGCGGGGCATCATCAGCAAAGAAGTCTAACGGGGTCAGATCTGGTGAGCGAGGTGGCCAAGCGTGTGGTCCTAGTCTGCCGATCCAGCGATCATCAAATAGCTCATTGAGGCGCTCACGGACGAACCTCACGACATGGTATCGCTGTCTGTTCAGTCGCTGTGGCAGAAACACTGGTCCCAGTATGCGATCCTTAAATAAACCTGCCCATACGTTAACCGACCATCGGGTTTGGTGCCCGGTTTGTCGAACAGCGTGCGGGTTAACCTCTGAATACACGTGTGTATTTCTTCGGTTCCACAGGCCGTTTCTGGTAAATGTCGACTCATCCGTCCAGATAATGTGCTCAATGGAACCAGGCACACGTTGTCGCTGGTATAATAACCAACGGCAGAAAACTCGTCGGCGGACGTGATCGCCGGGAACTAAAGCTTGCACTTTGTGCAATTTGTATGGGCGCATTCGGTTACGCTTCAACACTTTGTGCACTGTACAAACGCATCCCGACGTCTTAACAATTTATTTGGCGATACTTCGTGTACCTGGGTTCGGATAACATGTTGCTGTATTCACAATCACTATAAAAGTACGCGTTAAGCATTATTAAAACAAAAAACGTAACAACAGGAATAATACCAACACGTAATCACAAGTAATAACAATACGATTGAGCTGTCGGTCACGCACGCGTGTACAAAATCAACACGGAACTGTTTCAAAAACTACAATTAATAACGAACCCCAACAAAACTGAAACCTACTGCTAGGACAGTTATTATACTCTTTGTCTCACAGAATACTTTACTCCTTGCTTTGTCTACTGCGTCACAGCGTGAGGCGACACGAGCCGGCCGGGTTACATTCTGCCGTCGCCGGGTTACATAAAGAAGGACGCAACTAACAAAAACGTAAAATGGAAATAAAAAATAAATTGATGAATTTTTCTTTCAGACCCTGTGTCTAAAGTACCTATATTAAAAGGTATCTATATGAAAATACGTAGAGACATGAAGATTTTAAGGACGAACAAATTTTTTGATAATTTGTTTATTTATTTAAATAAAACGAATTTTCCTTTTCATCTTAGCTTAAAAAATACACCTGGCAACACAAAAACATCGAAGGAAAGACGCATATAACTATTTGCGTCTTTCCAACCTAATAAATTAAAAAAAAAAACTGCCATTCATTTAACAATTTTACATATTTTGGAAAGGTCATTTGAAGTTGAAAGGACGCTAATAGTAATTTACTACTTTTTTTTTAATAAATATTAGAAAAGCATTGGTAGTGAGACACAAAAAATAATAATTTTAAAAAGTAATGATTTTAAAGGGGATATCATACAAGACTTACTACGATAATAATTAAAAATTAAAAATTAAAAATTTTGTACAACCGACTTTAATATAAATAATTAAGGATAACTCAAAAACTATTGGTCTGACCTCGATCAAATTTATATGGGACCACATGTGAAACACCAGCTCTTAACAATAAGATATAAGCTCTTAATAATAAGATATAGAATAATAAGACAAGACCAAGAATAATTGAAATTTAAGTAATCGATGCAAATATTGTTAAAGATGACGTAGCAACTGGTTAAATAAGTCTTTTCTTTTATGTTGAATTTGTATAAGTCTTTTCTACTAAAAAAAGTCATCTGTGATCAACAGTTACGTCTAAAATTCTTACGATAATTTCTAAAATATTGATATTTGTGAATATTAAAAAAATTTAGTAGATGCGCCTTCTTATCATGAATCGAATGGTATATTTAACTCATTTATTCATAAATTGTTAGATGCGCCCTTTTTTCTTACGACCGCGTGTTTCGTACCGAGCTAGATACAGGTCGATAGCGAAGGGGGTGTGGGTACAATCGCGTTCTAAAGTACTACATGGTATTTGGCTATTGTTTTATAATATTATAGTAATTAATTGTTTTAATGTAGAATCATAATAGGTGTTTTACTAGCTACTTAGAACTTTGGAAGAGGTGGGAATTAAAAATGGATAATGTTTACATGAGCATTATTTGTTATTTCTATCGTAAAATATAAAGTAGTTTGTAACAAGAAAACTTTAGCTAAGGGTAACACGCCGTCCATTATGACGTCTTGGGTCACATGGAAGCCAGATGTTAATGGTGTGTTGGTGTTACTGGATGCTACTTGATCATCACTTTCATCTTCGCTTGAGCTTCCGTCATCAGGTCGATCACATGGTAATTTTTTCGGTATTCTTCCTCCACACTTTTAACTTTACTGCACAATTTTCCCCATTCACCTTCTCCTATCATATTTACCTTTTCGATCACTAGTTTAGTCATAAAACAATAAATATAAATAATTTTTCTTTCCTTCCTTTTTAAAACATCGTCGCGAGTCGCAAAGTAAGCTGTGTATGCGACTGTATTTTTGGAGCGAACAAAGCGCGGGAACCAATAGCATGCAGGCACACTAATACTGGCGGATTGTTCCCCCGTCGCGCGCCTTTCGTACCAATATGTGATAAATCGCTCAGTGCCCAAGTTCAAGGCCAGCGTTTGTTTTTCACCGTTCGCGCGTACATTAACCTCCATTAGTCAGGTGATATCAATTCAGTTTCCACTGCTGGTTTTATGTTTCAGTATTTTCATGATATTTTTTATGAAATTATCGTTTCATTTAGCTGTACTAACATGATGGCGCGTGAGTAAAGCTAATAAAACGTTGTTAAAAGATGATTTTTTTTTCATCAGGATCGACTTTATTTGTAACCCATGATCAAAGGTATACTTGGTGCTGTCGCCTGTCTTAGTTTTCGGGAGCGTTCCAAAAATACCCTGTATATATCTAGGCGAGACAATAGTTAGAAATAATTGTAAAAATTTTTTGCCGGTACTTGCACTAATGCGGTGCGCTAAACCTTAATTTATGATATTTTGATATAATTATAATAAATATGATCACAATAGGTTGCTTTAAAGATTCGAAATACATGAATTTTTTCTATATTTTGTCGCATAATCGCATTACTTCATGCCGTTTTTAATACTGTGTAGTGTTGGTGTAAGAATATCCACCCCATAGTATCCCGTGGGTGTCTTAACACTGGCACTGTCCGGTTTTCAGACACAATAGTAAGACAATAGCAATGACCTATATGTAGTGCACGGGACACCGAAAGGGTTAATTTAAATGGCAGCATCTTCCTGATAACAACTCGAAGCAAGAAAAAACTGCAGTTACCGACCCGCCCGACAAGCGTGGGAACTAACAGGCAAAATCCAAATATCTGTCAGGTCTGTCTTCAGAAGGACTGTGGACTTTTGTAGGCTGTAATGGATGAATACACTCGATGCTAACCGTCACCGTACACGCATGCACTTACTCACGTACGCATGCACACATCCACTCACACACACACGCGCGCACACAATTTATTTTATTTTTCTGTATGTATACCACATTTTGTTATCTTTACACTATCAATGTATCACTGGTACATGGAATTTTGACAGATTTGTTCATTTTATTTTATATTTGTGTTTGTTTTTTTGTATATATATATATATTGTATATATATATTATCTTCAATTCGTGATTTAAAGCTGAGTGGAGACCATTTTGGTGCATATTACGTTATTCCTTTTTCTGCCGACTTCCAAAAAGTAGCCGGTACTCAATTCGACTGTATGTTTTTTTTTTGTGTGTTACCTCATAACTTTGTACTGGGTGAACCGATTTCGATGATTCTTTTTTATTTGAAAGCTGGTACTTCTCGTGTGGTCCCACATAAATTTGGTCAAACCAATAGTTTTTGAGTTATTCTTAATAACTTATATTGAAGTCGGCAGTTCAAAATTTTTAATTTTTAATTATTTTTATTATTTCATATGATGTATGTGCCAAATAAACTTATTTCTTTCTTTCTTTCTTATAATAGAAATATAAACAAATACCTATCTACATCTACATCTACACTTATATACTATTATAAAGAGGAAAGATTTGTTTGTTTGTTTGAATTGAATAGGCACCGAAACCACTGGACCGATTTGAAAAATTCTTTCACCATTAGAATCCTACATTATCCATTATGAACATAGGCTATATAATATTTTCAAAAAGTTAGGGATCCGTATGAAAACTTCGTTAATGTAACCCAAGGTGAGAAAAAAATTCCAAAAAGAATCCTTATATCGCGTATGCTACGGAAACTATTGATAATAGAGCAAAGTAATGTATTTCAGTTTTAAGGAGGAAATCAATATCTACAAAAAAGTCTGCGATACCATATGTTTAACTATTACAGTTATGTCACAATAACTACTTTTTCGATTTGAAAACCCTGGTCTTACCCTTTGCGTTAGCCATTTATAGGCTTGGGGGGGGGGGGGGGGGGCAGGGGTCGTTTTCGCCTGCTTAGGACGAATACGTAATTTACTGGCGCTCTTGACCCCCGCCGTACCTTTTGAATGTTTTGCCTATCTTATTGCAAAAGCACTACACCACTCTAAGTGCTCATACGCACTACACGGCTAACCACAATGCGGCTAGCCGTCCGGCTGACCGCAGGATGCGGTTGCGAATGCGGCCAACCGCATTTCGTAATAATTTGCGGGGGGCGTAAAATGCGGGCAACTGCAACCTGCGATTGAAGAACCGTTGCGATTTGCGGTCATATAGATTCATTTCTGTACCGTGATAAATATGCACCAACTCTTACCATGCTCTTTGTTTTAAAATTTAATCGGAATATTTTGGAAATTTGGAGCTTCGAATTACTGGGCGATTCTGGATTTCGATGATAATTTTTTTAGTATCCATCATAAACCTATCACGTGCGCACAATCTCACTCGATTGCGGGCAGCCGCAAACTGAGCCTCACAGGGCGAATAGCATCCGTCTGATTGGCCGTCATTCGGGCCGCAATTCCTCCGAGCAACCGGAGGGGTTTGCGGGTAGCCGCATCGCAGTGCGCATAGAAATAGATGTTACGTAAATATTATTGCTTGTAATCAGCTTTACGGCTGACCGCATAGCGGGTAACCGCATAGTGCGTAAGAGGGCTAACATGCCCCGCGTAACTGTCCACTTCCGATAACATTAGAAAGTTGTGGCTTTGCTCGAAGTCGGCCAAGGAAATATTATATTTTGTTACCATCCTATATAGAACTAAAGCGAAAAAGAGGGGTTGTGAAATAAAAATACAGAATATCACACAAAATACTTTTTATTAAAAAAATATCGTTAAATAGTTCAATATGTACATATGTATGTCCCATGATCGAGCCATGAAATCTCTCCGAAGAAGTTCATATTAGGCAAAAATAAATCGAGAAATTGGATTTTAGGTTAATGGATGTAGAGTCTATTATTGAACGGTTCTTTAAAAATATTCAGTCAAACGCGCTCCGTTCGTTCCAACAACAATAAGACAAGCGAGTATCTGGCTTTAAGCATTGTTAAAAAGCAACCTACATGTAAATCGTGAAAGTTGACTGAAGGAAATGCTTGAAAGATCTTGTGGGTTCCCACAGACGGCGGAATCACACGCCAAGCCTCTATATGGTAATAACGGTTAGCGTTTGTTGTAAATTTCGCAGTACGCGAGCAATTCGGGTTCGAACCCCGTCGGTACCAATGAAATTATTAATTAAAATTTTAAGTGTTGATTTACCACGTGCTCGGCGGTGTAGGAAAAATATCGTGAGAAAACCTGCATGTTTGAGAAATAAGAAAAAAAAAATATATTTCGAAGACATGTAATGTCCGCCAACACGCATTGGGGCATGGACACGTCCTTGCTCTAAAACCCTTTGAGAGGAGGCCAGTACCCAGACCAAACCAATAACACAGACCGGCGAAAGGGAGCAGTTTGATGTAAGAGACCACACGACATAATAATATATACCTATTAAAGACTTAGTCACGTCACGTTAACAACACGTCTCCTTATCATTGAAATCCTTTTAATATTACAGTAGTGACAAATGATACTGCAGTCGGTGATCAGTTTTCAAGCGCGGTAAAAACTAATTTTAATTATAAAGCTAAATGTCTGTAACTATTTTCTTTATCGACTCTACATCCAACGCTTTTATTTGGACATATTTCCCGCTCACTGATGTAGTAAAGAACACGGACGTAACACAGTGAAATTTGGCTAACAATGAAGCAGAGTGCGGCGCTGGTGTGTCGGCAGGCGTCAGCTCAGGGCCCCGCCGTGACGCGGAAGTAGGCGTCCGTGCGCTCCCAGTCGTCGAACAGCAGCGGCGCCTCGTCCGGCTTGGCGTCGCGCGGCTCCCGCGGCTCGTGCTTGGCCTGCGGGCAGACAGCGGTGCAGTTGCGTGCGGTGTGGCGCGTGGCCAGTAGGGCCGGTAGGGGCGGTAGGGACAGCAGTGAGCAGTACCTTGAGCGCGCGGTGCACGAGGCGCAGGTGCGTGCGCATGGCGGTGCGCTGCGTGAAGCGGCGGCCGCACTCGCCGCACGCGAACGGCTTCTCGCCCGTGTGCGTGCGCACGTGGTTGGTCAGCACGCTCTTGCCCTGCGCACAACAAGTCTCACGTAATACTGCAGTGTGCAGTGTGTAGTGCATAATGTGTAGTGTGTAGTGTACACCATGTAGTGCGCAGCGTGCAGTGCCTACAAGGTGGGTGACCACGCTCTTTCCCTGTGCACACTAGTGGCACTTAATAAGGCAGTGTGTAGTGTCTAGTGCATAACGTGTAGTATGCAGTGTATAATGTGTAGTGTGCAGTATGTAGTAAGCAGCGTGCAGTACGCACGTGATTGGTGAACACGCTCTTACCCTGCGCACACAAGTATTACGTAATACGGCAGTGTGTAGGGCATAATTTGTAGTGTGTATGTATAATGTGTAGTGTGCAGTGTGTAATGTGTAGTGTGCAGCGAGCAGTGCGCACGTGGGAGTAAGCACGCTCTTGTCCTGCACACACAATTGTCACGTAATACTGCAGTGTGCCGTGTATAGCGCATAATGTGTAGTGCATAATGTGTAGTGTATAATGTGTAATGTGCAGTTTGTAGTACGCTGTGTGTAGTATGTAGTGTGTAGCGTATAGTACGCATATGGTAGGTGAGCACGCTCTTGCCCTACGCAAACAAGTCTCACGTAATATGGCAGTGTGCATTGTATATTGCATAATGTGCAGTGTATAATGTGCAGTGTGTAGTGTACAGCCTACAGTGCAAACGTGGTTGGTGACCACGCTCCTGCCCTGTGCACACAAGTATTACGTAATACGACAGTATGTAGTGTGTAGTACATAATGCGTAGTGTATAATGTGCAGTGTGTAGTGTGAAGCTAGCAGTGCGCATATGGTTGGTGAGCACGCTCTTGCCTTGCGCACACCCGTGGCATGAAATACGGCAATGTGCAGTAAGTAGTGCTTAATGTGTACTGTATAATGTGTAGTATGTAGTGTATATTGTGTAGTGTGTAGTGTGCATTGTGTAGTGTGTAGTATGTAGCGAACAGTACGCACTTGGTTGGTGAGCACGCTCTTGCCCTGCGCACACAAGTTTCATGTTATACGGCAGTGTGCATTGTGTAGTGCATAATGTATAGCGTGTAGTGTATAATGTGCAGTATGTAGTGTACAGCATGCAGTGCGCACGTGGTTGGTGAGCACGCTCTTGCCCTGCGCACACAGTTTTCACGGAACACGGTATGCACACGCATTGTATGAGTGTAGCGTGTAGCGTGTAGCGTGTGGTGGTGTGGAGCAGCGCGCGTGTACGTACGCGGAAGGCGCGGCCGCAGGTGTCGCAGACGTGCGCGGGCGGCGGGCGGCGGCCGGCGTGCACGGCGCGCTCGTGCTTGGCGAGCGACGCGCGCGACGCCAGCGCGGCGGGGCAGCGCGGGCAGCGGTGCGCGCGCACGCCCTCGTGCTGCACCTCGCTGTGGTGCCTCAGCGCCGCCTGCGACACGAACCGCTTGTCGCACCGCGTGCACTTGTACCTGCCGTTCACGATGTAACACTATCTTTGAACTACAAACTTCTTTACATTTTTTCATAGAAAAAGGATAACAAGCGAGCACACAGTCCACCTGATGATAAGTGGTTGTTGTGACCCATAGACATCCACATCTATCCTACTTTGCGAATCATAATACCGGTAGATGATTGTCATCCACCATTGATGGTCTGCCTGTCAGCGACGGATTTTGAAGAACACGCTACAACGGACAACAAATGCTCAGATGACCAGAAACAATGGAACTTTTCTAAAGCAGACTTCAGTTTGTTATACAGTAGTATTTCGGTGATAGATTGGAGTGAACTATACACCATTTTTAATTTAGAGGTTACTCTAGACTATTTCTATAGTACCATAAATAATATATTTAATAATTGTGTTCCTGTTAAAAAGCATAGATTAGCAAACAGTAGGTATAACTACCCACAATGGTATTCAATGGAGGTCATTCGCGAAATACAACTTAAATACAAGTTACATAAAAAATATAAGACCAGTGGGTCAAACGATGACTATCATGCTTTTTCACAATGTCGAGCGCGAGTTAAAAAAGCAATTAATGAAGCTCATAGTATTTACCAGGAGCGAGTGCAGAATAGTTTTGTGAAAGATCCAAAGGGATTTTGGACTTTCGTGAAAAATAAACGAGGTGGTACTCGTATTAACAAAAATAAATTAATTAACGATGGGCGTTTCTTATCAGAGAGCGAATGTGCAAATGAATTAGCGGCATATTTTCACTCGGTGTATTGCTCGGAACCTGCCGTGTTGGACGTGGCGGCAGCGGCAAGCGCGGCTTGCGCGCCGGGTGGCGGTTACGCGCATCGTGTGCACCTCAACGAGCTGAGCCTTGCCGACGTGCGCCGCGCGCTGGCCAGACTCAAACCCAAATGCTCCACAGGTCCCGATGGTATACCTCCGTATATTGTTAGAGACTGTCGTGAGGCATTCGAGGCCCCGTTTCTCCATATATTTAATATCTGTCTCAACAGTGTAATTTTTCCTAATAGGTGGAAGTTAACCAGGGTGGTACCGGTACCCAAAGGCAGTGGTGGTACAAAAGTTTCGGATTATAGACCAGTGGCAGTTCTGTGTAAGCTGGCAAAGGTTTTTGAGTCAGCATTACATCACTCACTATACGAGGGGTGATCCAAAAGTAATGATAATCGGTTACTTCAGGTCCGCATAAAAATCCAAAAAAAATATTTTTTGCTTACTTATATACTCACTACGTCAGCCTAAAAAAATCATATAAATAGATCACGATTTCCGGGAGATACATTCATTTGAATACAAACTGTCAAAGAGATAACATCAACATGGAGAAAAACGAAATTAGAGCTGACATCAAGTACCTCTGTTTGAAAAAAATGTCTTCAAAAGACATACACAGTGACTTAGTGGAAACATTGGTGGACTCTGTTCTTCCATATTCTACAGTTGCACGCTGGGCCAAGGAGTTTAAACTGGGCAGAACATCCACTGAAGATGAACATCGCGAAGGACGCCCATCCACGTCCCTCACTGAAGACAACGTGAAAAAAGTCGAAGATGTTGTGTTGGCAGATCGAAGAGTGATCATCAGGTATGTAGCTGATGTCACAGGAATCTCATATGGCAGCGTTCAAAGAATCCTTGCGGACGAGTTGCATATGAAAAAGGTCTCTGTGCGTTGGGTACCCAGAATGTAAACCGACGAGCAAAAGAAAAATCGAGTTGACATTTCGAGGGTCAATCTTGAAAAGTTCCAAGCAGATCAAGAAAATTTTTTGTTCCGTTTTGTGACTATGGACCAGGCCTGGATCCACCATTTTGATCCTGAAACGAAACAACAATCGATGACTTGGAAGCGAGCCTCCTCACCGACGCCAAAGAAATTCAAAGTTTCAAGTTGGTCGGGAAAGGTTATGGCATCTATTTTTTGGGACGCTCAAGGCATAATTATGGTGGAATATTTGGAAAAGGGAGCCACTGTTACGGGCTCTTACTACGCAGACCAAATAAGAAGATTACGGGAGGTCATTAAGGAAAAAATACGCTGCAAACTGCGAGCTGGAGTGCTGTTTCACCAAGACAACGCACCGGCTCACAAAGCCGCAGTTGCGATGGCTGCCATTCAAGAAACGGGATTCGAACTGCTCGAACACCCTCCCTATTCGCCAGATCTAGCTCCTAGTGATTTCTACCTCTTTCCTCGGCTCAAGGAACGCCTCCGAGGCAAGAAATTCGAAGACGATAGCGAAGTAATGGCCGCTGTTGAAGCGTTTTGGGAGGGTCAAGACAAAGAATTTTTTTTAAAGGGAATCCTGGGTTTAGAAAAAAGATGGACTAAATGTATTGATTTGTTAGGAGACTATGTAGAAAAATAAATTATTATTGAAACTTTAATTACCGTGTTTTATTTTCATTATCATTACTTTTGGATCACCCCTCGTATATGCAGGTAAGCGCTCAACTTTCGGACGCGCAACATGGATTTCGCCCGGCACGTAACACCGGCAGTAATCTGCTTCATCTGATATCAGAAGTGGTACCAGCAGTGGATTCGGAGGCACAGGTGGATGTCGCATACCTTGACTTCCGTAAGGCGTTTGACACGGTCGACAATGATATTCTACTCATGAAACTGGCGCAGGCGGGTTTTACACCGAAAACATTGTCATTTTTCGCTAGCTACATGAGAAACAGGAGCCAATTTGTAGACTGGGCTGGTCAACTGTCAAAACCATACCTTACCAGGTCACGAGTGAGTCAAGGTAGTAATTTGGGCCCCCTGAAGTTTGTCCTAATGATTAATGATCTACCCGATGTTGTATGGCAATCAACATGTCTTCTATTTGCGGATGACCTAAAATTGGTGTCAATAATTAGGGACTCAGCTGACTGTGACAAACTACAGGCGGACATTGACAGAGTAGTACAATGGAGTCATAGGAATAAGTTATTTTTTAACACTTCCAAATGCTCAGTCATGTCGTTCACACATTCACGCCAGCCTCACACATACAAATATAATTTAGACGGAGTAGCCTTGCAGCGCGTAACAGAAGTAAAAGACCTTGGTGTGCAAGAAGGCGTATAGAAATTTAGGATTTGTGTTACGTCAGTCGCGGGAATTTACAAATCTCTGTGCGGTCCGGGCCTTATATGAAGCACTAGTGAAAATTCACCTAGAGTGTAATGGATTTGTATGGAGCCCGCATGAAGCTAAATACAAATTGATGGTGGAACGTATACAAAATAAGTTTATTCGATTTTATTTAAAACTATATGGAGTGTATCCGTTCTACTTATTAATGTACCCAACATTATTTGTTCTAGGCATGGTGAGGTATAACAAACTGGAGGTTAGGAGGGAGTTTAGTTTGGCAACATATATGTTTAAATTGCTGCGTGGAAAAGTATATAACGAGGCGATATTGCGAATGGCTAAGTTGTGTGTGCCGGATAGGTACGTGTGGCGCCGGAAGCGGCCGCCGCTGTTCGCGGTACCGCGCGCACGCACCAACCTTCTAACGGAGGCCCCACTGACCCGAGTGCTGCACACTCTAAATAAAGTAGCTCAGGATGTAGATTTATTCTGCTGTTCCTTGGGTGAATTCACAAAAGTGACATTATTTATATTGTGTTATAATAGTAGATAAGTTGTGTTCTGTCCTTGCTAAATTAGATAGTTTATGTGCCTACACTGTCGTATTAGGTACGCCTGTAAAGACAGAGGTAGAAATAAATAAATAATGCAGATGATGGGTTGTCAGCCATGAGAACTAAAATAGAATACCTCATTTCCAGTAAATGGGTCTCCGGTTCACTACACTCACCATACGAAACACAGCAGTATTAAGGTGCTATCATTCGTGATAAACGAAAAAGCAAGACTAAAAAGAAACAAAAAATAAATCTCTAGGATTTAACCTGCGAAATCATTCTTTCGCAGGCTAAATCCTAGATGAATGAAAAACGTAACTTAATTAAGCTGTTATCAAAGTTTCATTCCACAAGTTTTACCTCGCAATATAACATATCAGCATAATATTACAAAAAAATAAAATCAAAAATATAATAAATAATTTCATATTTCTTGTCCCTAACATAAATATCACCATGCAACAACAGCTGTCTCAAAACGTATTAAGATAATTGTATTGAGTATCTGTTCCAGAGGCACTACTTACTACTACGTAGTCTTTCTCTTTACATTCAACTACTTCAGTATACAAAGTCAAAACTACATCGTATATTATTTATGGTCCTTCGTGCCGGCATTCAACAAGTGAACTATTTCAATGTACAAAATCAAAACTACATCGTACATTATTTATGGTCCTTCGTGTCGGCACTTAACAATTCAACCACTTCATTATACGAAATCACAACTAAACCGTACGTTCTTTATGGTATTTTGAGCCGGTACTATACAACTTAGCCATATCAGTGTATAATAATAATCATAATAAAATCATCCCACCCAACACCTATCACCCTAACAGTCCTAGCTATAGACGAAAGCTCCATGGCGCAGTGGCTGAGCCATGAGTTGCGCTGTGGGCCACAGGTCTAGAATCCCGCACGGAACAAGTATTTCTATTTGTATGACTACAATGGATATTTGTACTTGTAAAATTTATGTTTGTAAACTGCCTCCACGATACAGGAAAAAATTGTAATGAATAGATTATATAATAACAACACCCTGAATAGAAAAGTCCGCAATACTATGGCATCCCATAGGATGAATTACCCGAGATCGTCATTAGCGAGGCTGTACTTTCCGCGGTTTTGCGTTTACAAGGCTCTACAAGAGTCTTTCGTAGACACCGTTAGCTCCCTCCACTGGCTACGTTTCGGTGACCTCTTTGGGGAAACCGAGGGTTTTGTCTGTGCAATGCAAGATCAGGTTGTTATGACAACTAACGGAGATATAGGTAATATGATAAGCATACAAGCTGTCCCGAAACTCAACGTCAAACGGGTACGGGGCAATAAGCTAGGTTGTATCAGTTCTAGCAAAAATAAAAAAAATCCATGTTACTTGATTAAGTGATAATAGGTATACTTTTGAAAATGTTGAAAGTCAACAACCTAGATCACATATTTAGGTACTGTGATCACAAATTTCTACATTTTTCAGTGGTTTTTTTTTAATGTAATCCTAAATAACTATGCTATTCATTGCAGTAACAAATCCAGTAATTATTATTGTGAGTTTAGTACAAAAAAATAAAATTTAATTAAGTCATGGTTAAAAACATTTTAACACATAACTTTGACGCCTTGTCTTTAAAAAAAATGTACTACACTACTCCATAGGCAAGTTGTTTTAAAAAAGGCCCATTTAATTAAGATTTCAAAATGGTACTACACTTGCTACTTATCTTTCCATAAAAAATATAGTGACATGGAATTTATTTTTTTATTTTTGCTAGAACCGGTACAACCCAGGTTGTCTCCCCGTACCCGCTGGACGTAGAGTTTCGGGACAACCTGTATATGGAAAATAGACAATAGGTTAAGTTTATACTTCGGGTTAGGACATTGAAATTGAGAACATTGATTGAGATATGCACTATTTGAATATAAAGGTATACATCGTAGCGTTTTCGCGTCATCAGATATTTAGCCATTTTTTTTGATATACCGATATAACTGACAACATTTTCTTTATAAATTCTTTTGATTATGAATCCCACTCCATAAAGCCCATTGGTTTCCCCTTTATAACGGATTATACAATCTCGATGTTCTTCAATGTTGCTATAATTGACAGCTTCATAACGCAATGAGTTACAGCGCTAAGGGGCGTGGGTTCGAATACCGCACGGAACAAGTATTTGTATGATCTTCACGTAATTGTTCCAAGTTTAGATGTTTGTCATTGTCCAATTTTTGCATGTAAACTGTCCACAATATTATTTCCTTGCTAAAAATTAAACTTTCTTCTTCGAGAGAAATCTGGATTCAACCCCACTTACAGCCTAAAAAATAGCTTAGATCTCATTTCCAAAATTAAAGATATTAGTATTCCTCCTAAATCCATATTGTTATCTTTAGGCGTTGATAGTCTTTTCACAAATGTCCCATCCCCTGATCATCTTGCGTAAACTCGCAGATCTCTTTGATAAACGTCGTCTACACCCCGGGGAAACAAATGATCTTCTTAACTTAACCTCTCTCTGTATTAAACAAAACTATTTCCGGTTTAATAACCGTTTCTATCTACAAAAAGAAGGGTTAGCTGTGGGGTCCCCTCTAAGTCCCCTTATGGCAGATATTTTCATGGATAATTTCGAAAAACAACATATAGTTGTCAATCAAAATATCTTATATTACTATCGATATGTAGACGACATAATTATTTGCTGGACTGGCACAAGGAGACAACTGGATGTTTTCCTCAATAAAATAAATAGAGTCCATGACAAAATTAAATTTAAACTTGAATTGGAACAAGATTGTTCCCTTAATTTCCTCGACTTAACAAAAACAAGAAAAGAATCGTCACGTTTTCCAAATTTATCGAAAGCCAACTCATACCGACACGGTCATCCCCGCGACATCGTGTCATCCGTGGCAACATAAATTAGCCTAGCATTATTGTTATATTAATCGTTGGTTCACTGTCCCATTAAGTAAAGAAAATTATTTAAAAGAGCTTAATGTGATTTATCAAATTGCGGTCTCCTAAAGGTTTTTCAAAAAATCTCATTAACAATTTAATTAAAAGGAAACAAAAGCATGTTGTTCGCAATGCTATGTACGCAGTTCAACCTCAGTGTTCTTCGATATGTGGGCAGTTTGACCTACTTAGGTGCCATATCTGAAAAAGTAGCTAATACTGTTCGACAAAGCGCCGTTTATGTGGCGTTCAAAACAAACAATTCTCTTAGGAATAGCTGTAATAATAAAGATAAGTTTAATATTCGTCAAAAGTCGGGTGTTTACAAACTTGTTTGTGACGAATGCCACGCCGTTTACATACGTGTAATAAAGCACACGCGACTGTGTGTGCTGGAACAGTTAGAGATATTAAAAAGTAATAATAGTAACGTTGCACTGCTGAATGAACAAACAAATGTTTCTAACTCACCTCTCTTAAATATCTTTAAGGCTGCTCTCTAATAACAGACAGCCTCGCAATATGGTCGTTTGTCGCTCTCACGGTGATCAGCGATTGGTTGCGAGGGTGGAGGGTAGGCGGGCGTTACGCGGCGGTTTGTTTTTAATTTTACACACGGCTGCGTACGTCAGGTGGTGATTGGTCGCATGTTTTATCGCATGACGTAATTGCTCGCTACTTAAGTAGGGAGCGATTGCGTCAGCAGGCTGTATAAATAGCAGTTGTTTTGGCTCGCCGCTCACTTAGCGGTCAGCCACCGCAGAGTCTACATCACATGAAGATGCCTCGTGTAGAGGCAAAACACGTATCGTATAGTCGTCAGTGGTGTATCTTTCGTAGTGTAGTGGTATTGGGAGTAGAAGAGAAGTAAACATTAAGATTTACTTACTTAAGACTTTGCACATCCAAATGTTTCAGGCTTTTCAACAGGTGCTGCTTAAGGCTGTGGGCAGATTTGAACCTGGGGAAAAGGATTTTTTGGAGTTCAGTTTCTCTATTAAAAAACAATTAATTAATACTAGCGATTGTTGTCACTTGGTGAAACTTCAGCTTCCGTTACGGTTACAGAATATTAAAGTCCACTGTGGTACTTGGGCCTCTCACATAGATTGCCTAATAGAGGGGATGTTTGCCATAGTCGCCACGCTTGGCAAGCGGGTGGCAACAGCATTTTTAGTTGTTATTGGGAAGACGTCACTGCCCATCTGGTTTGTTCCCCCCTGTCGCCTCTTCCAACACCCACGGAATGATATGGGGTAGTGTATAATCTTACACCGCCACTACACTGTAAAAATGTGGTTTATTAAGATAAATATTTAAAAAAATCACTTGTACAGTGTTACCTCACATCGCATTCAACGCAGTAGTAGTCTTTCACGTCGGAGTGCTTTCCTTGGTGCAGTTTAATCTGCGTTCGCGTTCTGAACTTCGCACCGCACTGCGCGCACTCATAGTTCTTGATCCCCTTGTGAATCCTGGAAATCAGAGGTTAAAACTGTATCACATTTGCCATGTCATGGCAAGTGCACTGCAGAACAGGATTTTTTTATAGAATTATAGTGACAGACAAGCATACAGTCCACCTGATGGTAACTAGACGCTGTGGACCATAGATAGACATCTATCCTCGATTAACAATCAAAATGCAGATGTGTTACCCCTGATGACTAAGATGGAATGCCTCGTTTCAAGTAAAAAAGATCTCCGGGTTAAAGAAGATAAATATAATTAAAAAAGATTGAGGACTGAAATAGAAATGCTAACATTCTGTAATTATATTGGTCCTTCGAGCCGGATCGCAGCAATGTGTCGCGGAGTTTCTTTCGCCGTTTCCTGTCCGGTTAGAGGACCGTCATTTCTAAATTGTAGTAGGATTAATAATTACATTAGACAAATTAAATTTTAAATTAATTTCGTCGACAAATTAAATTTTGTTTACAAGGTAGCAAAGCTCTTTGTAGATGAAAATCTTGGAGACCATCTGCGTTTTTACCACCCTCATCTATTTCTATCTTCTGGCAGCAGTGATCCCACTTCTGTATTAGTTTGATGGGTAAGATGCGTTGGCACCTTACCCTTCAAACTAACTTCTGTAGCCAGGAACAGTGCACTGAATGTTGTTTTGATTTAAAGGATGAGAGAGTCATTATTATAATTACATGATGTGAGGTATTCCATCTTAGTCTTCAGGGGTGATAATGCATTCAACTGTTATATTCAATTTGTCTTGTTAAATTCTTCTGAATATCAAAATCTACACCGGTTCGGAAAACAAGACTTTTTCAGAAAAGAAACTACAAGTAAATTTGATCTTTTTAAATTCCATGATGCAATTCCATTTACAAAGTCAAATATATATTTAAATGTCATTTTTAACAATATATCGATAGCCAGTGGACTTGCAAATTTGCAGGTGTCCCACGTTCTGAAGCCATTTGACATCAGGTTATCAAATATCTCTCAAAGAATATAGATAATAAATTATACATACAACTGATGTTCGATCAAGGAGTCCTTGTTGACGAAACTCTTCCCGCATTCCTCGCACGTGGGCCGATCCCCGGAATGATGATTCCTCATATGGCCACGGTGCGTTTTGTTGTTGCTGATGGACAAAATAGAATGAAATAACATTAATTCAATATACAGGATGTCTAAAATGAAGTCAATTTGTTATATAAATATTATATTAATGTCTCATTATTACGTATTTAGCGAAAATCTAGAGATTAGCAAAAAGGTGCTAATAGCAGTTGTCAACGTTTAATATGCTCAGAGCGTCGATAGATGGCACCACAATATAATTGTATCACGTAATAATTGTTCTAATGCCAAAGCTTAGGTGTTGGATGATTTTGATTAAACGAGTCAGAGAAAATAAGAGTGCAACATTAAATTTGAATTTTTTTATAGGATAGGGTGACAAACGAGCACACAGTCCACCTGGTGGTAAGTAGTTGCTGTGGCCCATAGACATCTACATCTATCCTCGTTTGCGAATCAAAATGCAGATGCGTTGTCACCCGTGAGGAATTAGATGGAATGCCACTTTTCCAGTAAAAAGGGTCTCCGGTTCTCTACACTCACCATACGAAACACAGCAGCATTAAGCTGCTATTTTACGCTGGTATTCTGAGAGCGTGGTCCTACCCCGGTCGAGCCGACCCATTCGTGCTACAACTATACTACTAATATAGCGGCAGCATGGCTCTACCACGTATGAAATTTGATAGTGTAAAAAGCAAAGTGAATCAAGTTGTCGACAAAGAAAATTAACTCCCTATTGACAAATGTTTATAAATTTTGAGAATTGGTATTGTATATATGTATAGCTATTTGATGTCCCCGTTTTCAAATTTATAAGGGACCACCACTGAAGTATAATCTGTTAAAAAAAAAAGAATTATAATAAAGCTTTTACAAAATTTTACTTCGCAAATATCCGCGTTATAAAATGATGTGTCTTACCTAGTATGAAGAGCCGGTGCTCTATCCCCGTCACCACTAATCCCAGCACCGCTACTCCCAACACCACTACAATAGGCAAGACACACCACTGACGATAATACGACACGTGTTTCGCCTCTACACGAGGCATCCTCAGGTGATATAGACTCTACGGTGGCTAACCGCTAAGTGAGCGGCGAGCCAAAACAAGTAAATTTTTGTAAAAGCTTTTATATAATGGATTTCCGCAAAGTAACGCCTGATTCTATTAATTATATTAAAAAGAATTATCACAATCGATTCACAACTGTCGAATACATCGCGTAACATACATACATACAGAAAACGTACAATCTCGATAACGCCGTAACCGATTTGGGAATTTCTTTTTTTTTTCGTCTGAAAGGTATACTTCCCAGGTGGTCCCTTTCGGTCGGCGGTTTTAAAAAAATCAACCATAAATTTTTTTTTAATTATATCGACGTCCAAATTTGTACAAAATTTTTAAATTTCCTACTTGTTTATTAGTAAATTATTTTTGTTACTAGGAAAAAGATGCTGCCCATATCCTGTTCATTTTGCCCTGTGTGACCTCTTACAACACTCACATGATATGAACCCTATTTTATACAGAGAGAATGAGATACTCTGCTACCCCATATTATAGTGTACTTAATTCTACAAAGCCGCAACTAAACATCGAAAATTACTCACTTAGAATTTTTTCCGCAGATGTGGCACGTGTACAATTTAAGAACACCTTCGTGTTGTGAGCTGTAACGAGAGAAAAAAAGATCTTAAAAACTAGAAACAATAAAGGCAGTTTCGCAAAAATAAAATTGGCGTACAACATATTAATTACATTGTCAAACTAATTTTATTGTCTTATAAACAGTTAGGTTGCCCGCGACTTTACCCGCGTGTAATTTAGGGTTTTGAATTTTATTTTGTGCGGAACTCTAATTCTTTTCTATCATAAAAATAGCCTAAGTAACTCCTTATAACATCAGCTATCTGCCAGTGAAAGACCCGTAAAATTCGGTCTAGCCATTTCGGAGATTGGCCGGAACAAACAGACAAAATTTAAAAAATTATGATATTATTTATTTATACAGATTTAATTTCTATGCGAATACTTGCAAATACTATTATTCAATGTGAATATTTTTACTAACATTTAACATACATAAAAAAGGAGTGTCTAGTGGCAGTGCAGTGGCAGTGCGAGTGTGAGCGGCACTCACCTGTAGTGGTCGAGTATGGAGGCGCGGTCGGTCATGCGGCGGCCGCAGCGCACGCACTCGTAGCGCCGCGTGTGCAGTGTCTAGTGTCTAGTGGCAGTGCAGTGGCAGTGCGAGTGTGAGCGGCACTCACCTGTAGTGGTCGAGTATGGAGGCGCGGTCGGTCATGCGGCGGCCGCAGCGCACGCACTCGTAGCGCCGCGTGTGCAGTGTCTAGTGTCTAGTGGCAGTGCAGTGGCAGTGCGAGTGTGAGCGGCACTCACCTGTAGTGGTCGAGTATGGAGGCGCGGTCGGTCATGCGGCGGCCGCAGCGCACGCACTCGTAGCGCCGCGTGTGCAGTGTCTAGTGTCTAGTGGCAGTGCAGTGGCAGTGCGAGTGTGAGCGGCACTCACCTGTAGTGGTCGAGTATGGAGGCGCGGTCGGTCATGCGGCGGCCGCAGCGCACGCACTCGTAGCGCCGCGTGTGCAGTGTCTAGTGTCTAGTGGCAGTGCAGTGGCAGTGCGAGTGTGAGTGGCACTCACCTGTAGTGGTCGAGTATGGAGGCGCGGTCGGTCATGCGGCGGCCGCAGCGCACGCACTCGTAGCGCCGCGTGTGCAGTGTCTAGTGTCTAGTGGCAGTGCAGTGGCAGTGCGAGTGTGAGCGGCACTCACCTGTAGTGGTCGAGTATGGAGGCGCGGTCGGTCATGCGGCGGCCGCAGCGCACGCACTCGTAGCGCCGCGTGTGCAGTGTCTAGTGTCTAGTGGCAGTGCAGTGGCAGTGCGAGTGTGAGCGGCACTCACCTGTAGTGGTCGAGTATGGAGGCGCGGTCGGTCATGCGGCGGCCGCAGCGCACGCACTCGTAGCGCCGCGTGTGCAGTGTCTAGTGTCTAGTGGCAGTGCAGTGGCAGTGCGAGTGTGAGCGGCACTCACCTGTAGTGGTCGAGTATGGAGGCGCGGTCGGTCATGCGGCGGCCGCAGCGCACGCACTCGTAGCGCCGCGTGTGCAGTGTCTAGTGTCTAGTGGCAGTGCAGTGGCAGTGCGAGTGTGAGCGGCACTCACCTGTAGTGGTCGAGTATGGAGGCGCGGTCGGTCATGCGGCGGCCGCAGCGCACGCACTCGTAGCGCCGCGTGTGCAGTGTCTCGTGTCTAGTGGCAGTGCAGTGGCAGTGCGAGTGTGAGCGGCACTCACCTGTAGTGGTCGAGTATGGAGGCGCGGTCGGTCATGCGGCGGCCGCAGCGCACGCACTCGTAGCGCCGCGTATGCAGTGTCTAGTGTCTAGTGGCAGTGCAGTGGTAGTGCGAGTGTGAGCGGCACTCACCTGTAGTGGTCCAGTATGGAGGCGCGGTCGGTCATGCGGCGGCCGCAGCGCACGCACTCGTAGCGCCGCGTGTGCAGTGTCTAGTGTCTAGTGGCAGTGCAGTGGCAGTGCGAGTGTGAGCGGCACTCACCTGTAGTGGTCGAGTATGGAGGCGCGGTCGGTCATGCGGCGGCCGCAGCGCACGCACTCGTAGCGCCGCGTGTGCAGTGTCTAGTGTCTAGTGGCAGTGCAGTGGCAGTGCGAGTGTGAGCGGCACTCACCTGTAGTGGTCGAGTATGGAGGCGCGGTCGGTCATGCGGCGGCCGCAGCGCACGCACTCGTAGCGCCGCGTGTGCAGTGTCTCGTGTCTAGTGGCAGTGCAGTGGCAGTGCGAGTGTGAGCGGCACTCACCTGTAGTGGTCGAGTATGGAGGCGCGGTCGGTCATGCGGCGGCCGCAGCGCACGCACTCGTAGCGCCGCGTGTGCAGTGTCTAGTGTCTAGTGGCAGTGCAGTGGTAGTGCGAGTGTGAGCGGCACTCACCTGTAGTGGTCCAGTATGGAGGCGCGGTCGGTCATGCGGCGGCCGCAGCGCACGCACTCGTAGCTCCGCGTGTGCAGTGTCTAGTGTCTAGTGGCAGTGCAGTGGCAGTGCGAGTGTGAGCGGCACTCACCTGTAGTGGTCGAGTATGGAGGCGCGGTCGGTCATGCGGCGGCCGCAGCGCACGCACTCGTAGCGCCGCGTGTGCAGTGTCTAGTGTCTAGTGGCAGTGCAGTGGCAGTGCGAGTGTGAGCGGCACTCACCTGTAGTGGTCGAGTATGGAGGCGCGGTCGGTCATGCGGCGGCCGCAGCGCACGCACTCGTAGCGCCGCGTGTGCAGTGTCTAGTGTCTAGTGGCAGTGCAGTGGCAGTGCGAGTGTGAGCGGCACTCACCTGTAGTGGTCGAGTATGGAGGCGCGGTCGGTCATGCGGCGGCCGCAGCGCACGCACTCGTAGCGCCGCGTGTGCAGTGTCTAGTGTCTAGTGGCAGTGCAGTGGCAGTGCGAGTGTGAGCGGCACTCACCTGTAGTGGTCGAGTATGGAGGCGCGGTCGGTCATGCGGCGGCCGCAGCGCACGCACTCGTAGCGCCGCGTGTGCAGTGTCTAGTGTCTAGTGGCAGTGCAGTGGCAGTGCGAGTGTGAGCGGCACTCACCTGTAGTGGTCGAGTATGGAGGCGCGGTCGGTCATGCGGCGGCCGCAGCGCACGCACTCGTAGCGCCGCGTGTGCAGTGTCTAGTGTCTAGTGGCAGTGCAGTGGCAGTGCGAGTGTGAGCGGCACTCACCTGTAGTGGTCGAGTATGGAGGCGCGGTCGGTCATGCGGCGGCCGCAGCGCACGCACTCGTAGCGCCGCGTGTGCAGTGTCTCGTGTCTAGTGGCAGTGCAGTGGCAGTGCGAGTGTGAGCGGCACTCACCTGTAGTGGTCGAGTATGGAGGCGCGGTCGGTCATGCGGCGGCCGCAGCGCACGCACTCGTAGCGCCGCGTGTGCAGTGTCTAGTGTCTAGTGGCAGTGCAGTGGTAGTGCGAGTGTGAGCGGCACTCACCTGTAGTGGTCCAGTATGGAGGCGCGGTCGGTCATGCGGCGGCCGCAGCGCACGCACTCGTAGCTCCGCGTGTGCAGTGTCTAGTGTCTAGTGGCAGTGCAGTGGCAGTGCGAGTGTGAGCGGCACTCACCTGTAGTGGTCGAGTATGGAGGCGCGGTCGGTCATGCGGCGGCCGCAGCGCACGCACTCGTAGCGCCGCGTGTGCAGTGTCTAGTGTCTAGTGGCAGTGCAGTGGCAGTGCGAGTGTGAGCGGCACTCACCTGTAGTGGTCGAGTATGGAGGCGCGGTCGGTCATGCGGCGGCCGCAGCGCACGCACTCGTAGCGCCGCGTGTGCAGTGTCTAGTGTCTAGTGGCAGTGCAGTGGCAGTGCGAGTGTGAGCGGCACTCACCTGTAGTGGTCGAGTATGGAGGCGCGGTCGGTCATGCGGCGGCCGCAGCGCACGCACTCGTAGCGCCGCGTGTGCAGTGTCTAGTGTCTAGTGGCAGTGCAGTGGCAGTGCGAGTGTGAGCGGCACTCACCTGTAGTGGTCGAGTATGGAGGCGCGGTCGGTCATGCGGCGGCCGCAGCGCACGCACTCGTAGCGCCGCGTGTGCAGTGTCTAGTGTCTAGTGGCAGTGCAGTGGCAGTGCGAGTGTGAGCGGCACTCACCTGTAGTGGTCGAGTATGGAGGCGCGGTCGGTCATGCGGCGGCCGCAGCGCACGCACTCGTAGCGCCGCGTGTGGATGAACGCGTGCACACTCGCGCTGTACGCGGTGGGCAGGTGCATGCGGCACAGCTCGCACTTGAACGGACCCCGTGACTGTGCACCCAACACAACTTTATATCACCACTGGTTGTTATTATCCCACCAGCCTTTCGGTTTCTTGAATTAAATTTGTTGAATTAAACTAATTTTAGGGACTTTTTCGCGTTTAATTCCCGTAATTTTTATATGAACGCGTGTATGCTCGCGCTGTACTCGGTGCATACGGCATAGCTCGCACTTGAACGGACCCCGCGATTGTGCACCCAATACCACTTTACTCACAGGTTTGGTATCATAATCCCATCAGCCCCAATCGTAATAATTCCGGTCACGTAAAAGTATTGACCAATGAGGAACAAATGATTCACAGAACCTTTATAACCATCTATTCTATCATTTTCTGCGACTTGTGAACGTTATTACAGGAATAGGTTTTTTCTAATCATTATTGAAAATATTTGTGACATTTGCTCCAACCAATTTATGCCCAGTATTATAAGGCAGATACGTTTGAGTATGACTTTGAGATAATCACGGAAACTAACTTGCAACACTTAAAGACTTTTTCATCTTTCATTTTATGTACATACAAAATCATTTCATTTAGTAAGTAGTAAATATTATTCAAAAAATTAATCATTTACACAAGTAAAGTTCAGAACACAGTAAAGCGTTCGACCGCTTAGATCACGTTATACTTCTCAGCAAACTACTCGAAATAGGTATCAGCGGCGATCTGTTCAGGTGGTTTAAGTCTTATATTGAGAATCGTTGTCAGACAGTAGTACTTAATGGTTACATGTCAGCAACTGTGCAAATCCCTTCAGGTATACCGCAGGGATCGCTATTAGGTCCATTGCTGTTTGCGATTTTTATAAATGATGTAGGTTCCTGCTTTACTTACTCCAAAATAATCCTTTACGCTGATGACATGAAAATTTTATGTCCCATCACAAAGACTTCTGGCTGCCTTGGTCTGCAGCGTCATCTCAATGAACTTGAACAATATTGTTCACACAACAAACTTGACTTGAATGTGTCCAAGTGTTTTATCCTTACTTTTACCCGTAAACCCAATCCCATTGTCTTTCACTACAAATTACAAGACACTAGTATTTATATGCTATATATTACAATCAGTAAAGGATCTTGGTGTACATATTGAGCTTGGTGCACATATTGAGAATATGATTAAAAAAGCCAATAGAGCACTTGGATTCGTTTTATGATTTGCCACCGATTTTCACAATATTAAAACATATAAGATACTTTATTGCGCTTTTGTTCGCAGCCATTTAGAGTACGCCTCTCAAGTGTGGAACCCAAATTATAACATTTATATAGATAGGATTGAGCAAGTACAAAAGCGTTTTCTACGTTTTCTGCAATTAAGACGCAATTTTACACTGATAACTCTCGATGTAAAAAATTTCATATTTTGCCTCTGCACGAACGTAGGCGCATAGCAGATATGATTTACCTTTTTAAATTGGCAAATGGTAATTTTGACTGTCCGGAGCTACTGAGTAAGTTAGGATTTACAACAAGAGGTACCCTCTTAAGAAAGCCTCGTTTACTCCACGTGCCGCATACCCGGAATAAATACAGGCAAAATTCTTTTATGATACGTGCATGCAGAACTTTTAATGTCATTTCCAATAGCGTTGACTTGGATCTGTTTAATACCAGTTTCTCAATTTAAAAATATTTTAGCGCAAAAATTATTTTGTTGAGTGTTCTTCTGTTTAATTTTGTTAATTTACTGTATTTGTCTTAATCGATGTTTATCTTTAACCGACTAGAATTATTGTTTTTAAGTTCATATTGCTTATAGGTGAAAACTTTTAAATGGCCTTCTAGTTGTTATTCATTTATTTATTGTTAATGTTAGCTGTAAGTTTTCCAAAAAGAGTAAAATAAAAAATAAATAAAACACTATGCAATAAAAATATGAACGGTAAAATGAAGTTTTTGTTTGTGTTCGTACGAAACAGAATAAACTGCACTCGCTAGTCGCGACATACCAAAGAAACTAATAATGACCGATGAGCGATGACCGATAGAATCAAGTGTGTCTCACTCCAATGATCCGGTTCATATGACGAATCAATACTTGAGTGATGAGGTCACTAAAAATGGACGATTGACACATGTCTAACTCCAAAGCTCCAAAGTTAAACTCTATTAGTGCTAAGTTATACAGAGCGTTGTATAAAACTATTTTTTTTTAATTCCGGATGTTTTGTTAATTATACAGGCTGTTGTGGTTTATAACACAATAAATGAAATCTTGGTATTTGATAATTTGATACAGTATTTCAAAATAGTCGTTTTTCTTATGTCAAAGTAGAAATATAGTAAACAAACTATATATGATACGGCTAACGTTTTTATCGTGGACAGAAACAGTCAAATATATTTAATTGTACATATTAATGTAGTTCAGCAACTGGAATTTTATATTATTGCAGTAATTTTTAAACCACACTCTAATAATTATTAAATCAGCTCTCTGATTTAAAAATTAAGTTACAGGCTGTATACGTCCCACTGCTGGACACAGGCCTCCTCTCATTCGTGAGAGGGTTTTAGGGCAGGGAAGTGTCCTCAGCGCAGCCCTAATGCGTGTTGGCGAACTTCACATGTTATCAAAATTTTTTTTCTTATTTCTCAGACATGCAGGTTTCCTCACGATGTTTTCCTTTACCGCCGAACATGTGGTAAATCAACACTTAAAATTGCAATTAAGAATTCCATTGGTGCCGGTGGTTGAGTTACCACGGCTCAATAGTTTAGCCACAGATTTTTAGTATGTTACAATAGTGTTTGAACATGATGTATATAAATCACTAGGCGATAAGGTCGTCGATACAATACGATAAGGTAAATAAACTGTATCTACACAAGTGGTAAAATTAAAAGTTTTGTACAACCGACTACAATATAAATATAATTTATTGTTGACTTTTTTTTTAACCACTCGACCGATTTCGATAAAATTTAATTGAGACCTATACCTTTTGAAACAAAAAAAAAGAATTTTCCAAATCGGTACAGGAATCTTCGAGTAATCGGTGAACATACATAAAAAACAGCTTTCGACGAATTGTAAACCTCCTCTACTCTATCTATTCTACACAATAGATATAAGGCTAGGTAAACAAATAGTACGTACCTGGTTCCGAAACTAAGACTGCCCCAAGGGTCGGTCAGGCGGTAGGTAGGTGTAGGTGCATGTGAGTGGTGTGTAGTAGTGTTTATTTATGTGACCTGACCCAGATGAGGTGATCGGGCAGCGGCCTGGTCCCATGTTGCCCCACAATACTGCATCACTCCAGGCGTCACCAAATGACAATTTCTTTCTTCATTTCACTATTTCAGTCTATCAACTTTATTGTACATTTAACTAACTTCAAACTCAACTAATTCAACGTTCATCGTGAAATCAAACACGTGACATCCGACACAAGTAACGAACAGTAGTTCAAAGTTCAATATTCAATGTTCCGGATTAATTTATCACCAAATTACAAATAGGAAACTAACGCGATCTCTTCTCGAGTCACAAAGTTCAGCGTTACAAACAACAAACTAAATTCCTTCGTTCGATATTAAATACTATGCCTGCATTAAGAATTCAAAACCCGCATAGCTGACACGCAAACTAACTGCATAGACAACACACAAAAGGCACTTAACGCGACGGTACAATTAAACATTAACTTCCAAACAATTAATCGACCCGGCGTCTATTTTTCTAGACTCCACAAACTCCTCGTCGTTGCATAAATTTGCTAACAAAACCGACACTAATTAGAGGTTATACGGGACGACCTCACGCCGTGCTAGTCTCCAGCTACTGTTCTCGCCCCCGAGCGCCGAACGCCGGGAAGCTGCATACCGCTGCCCCCCCCCCCCCCCCCCCCGGCGACCGCACGTCACCTCATACCATCGGGCGACTCGCTTAGTGAAACGCGATTGGATGGCGTCAAAGTTCAAATGACCATGTTTGGGCCTAAACAATCAAACACTTTCTTGTAACAGATAGAAAAATGTTAATAATTATGAAGCTAATTGTCTGGTAGCTACGGTTATTGCAAATATAATAAAAACTGTTCACCATTGGAATTACTAATTAGTCTAATTAAAAAAAAAATCTAAAATAAAAATGTTTCTCACCGGACTGTGTTTCTTCATATGATTCTGTAATTTAGACTCAAAATTGAATCCTTTAAAGCACAGATTACATTGGAAGGGAAACTTTAGACCGGCCTTGCTGTCCTCCTAAAACAATATAACATATTCATATTATAAAAACAGAAGTGGACCAAGAATCGGTCCTAGAGGAACACCTAAACTTACAACCAAGCTTAACAATGTTTTACCAATTAAAATATTATACAGTAAATATAATATTTTAATTGATATAAAAAAGACCATGTCCGCTGATTTTTTTATATATAAGGATGACAACCGAGCACACAGCCTACCCGAAAGTGAATAGATGCCGCAGCCAATAGACATCTTTATCTATCTTCAATTAAGAATTCAATTGCAGATGAGTTGTCACCCTTGAGGACTAAGATGGAATGGAGATTTCTAGTAAAAAGGGTCGTCGATTCTCTACACTCACCATACGAAACACAGCAGCATTAAGCTGCCATTTTACACTGGTATTCTGTGAGAGCGTGGACCCATCACGGTCGAGCCGACCCATTCGTGCTACAACCATAATACAGCTACAACTTTGCTCTACCACATCATGATCATCATCATCATTACAGCCCTTCAAAAGTCTACTGCTGAACATAGGCCTCCCCCAAGGAATGCCACAAAGCACGGGCCTGAGCCACCTGCATCCATCGACTTCCTGCATGTCTTACCAGGTCGTCACTCCATCTAGTGGGTCGCCCCACTCTAAGCCCCCGCTCTAAAGTTCGTCCGCCGGTACGAGGCCGCCACTCGAGAACCTTTTTTCCCCATCGGTTGTCGGTTCTTCGAGCTATATGGCCGGCCCATTGCCACTTCAGCTTACTAAACCGTTGGGCTATGTCGGACACTTTGGTTCTACTGCGGATATCCTCATTTCGAAGTTTATCACGCAGAGAAACATCGCGCATAGCCCTCTCCATAGCTCGCTGAGTGACCTTGAGGTTCCTCAACCAGCCAGCAGTGAAGGACCACGTCCCAGTTCTACAGGTCATCACTGGCAAGTTTTGAGGTTTACCTGACGAGAAGACGTGCCTAATTTCCCGAACGCTGCCCTGCCGAGTTGAATCACCTCTCAGTCGAAGTTGGACTTATCTAGTCGGACTATTTGTCCCAGGTAAACATACTCGTCAACAACTTCGAGCTTAGTGCTCCCAACAACTACCGGCATAGGCGTGACATGAACGATATATTCATCTTAAGACCTATCCGTTGGGTGGTACTATTGAGGTCATTGAGCGTAGTGCTTAGGTCCTCCCGCAATTCTGCCATAAGGACTATATCGTCGCCAAATCGAAGGTGAGTGATGTACTCGCCGTTTATGTTAATACCGTATCCTTTCCAGTCCAGAAGTTTGAAAACGTCTTCCAATGCAGCGGTGAAGTTTCAGGGATATAACGTTACCCTGTCTTACACCTCTCTGCAGTTGTTTTTTTATGTAAAAGTTTAAGAATATAAAACCACACTCACCTCCCTCTGTTTAATCTGTTCTTCGGGGTTCAGTACAATTATTTTTATCTTAGTAGGATCCAACTCTAAAGGCTTTCTTATTGATGTCTTGCGTGCCTGCTTTTTCTCTGTAACCGTTGCTCCTGTTTCTTCTGTACTGTGGACACGAGGTTGTATCACCCATGGGGACGTTTTTATATAATCTAACAGTAAGGATTACAAACTAGCACACAGTCCAATGAAGGCTAATAATTTTCTGCTCACCAGATGTCGCTAGCTGACACTGAGGTAAAGTCTTTACGTTGTGTAACACAACGTCATTTAATCGAGAAATTGGCTTTTAATAAAAGTTTATTATTTTCTAGAGTATTATATTAATACACAAAACAATGCGTCAGTGGTTTGCTCTTTAATTTTTTGCGCATTTTTAACTTTTTTTTTAAATTTTCTTCTTTTATGAATATTTGTGGCTTGATTTATTTATTTTTAATCTTATTAATATAAAATATAGCTAATAGTACACAAAGAAACAATAACCTTTACGTTTTCCGAACAAATTAACTCCCCGCTATGAAATCTATCAAATATTATACCTCACTTTCTAGTGGCGCCGCCCTGGTGGCAGAAAAAGTCGTGGATGTAGAAGTGATGTGGAAGGCCCTCATTGGCCCATGCGTTGTCAACCCCCAATTCTCACTCACCATCGTTTACCAGTTGAGCCAAACCATTAGTGCAACAATAATGTAACTGCAGCGTGACTAGTGATGGATCAATAAGACTTATTTTTCTTTTATATAAGAAGTATGACAAACGAGCACACAGCCCACCTAATTAAAAGTGAATGCTGTGGCCCACAGACATCAACATCTATTCTTGATTAAGAATCAAAATTCAGATGCGTTGTCACCACTGAGTACTAAAATGGAATGCCTCACCATATGAAACACGGCAGCATTAACCTGCTATTTCCCGCTAGTATTCTTTATGAGCGTGTTCCTTCCCCGGTCGAGCCGACTCATTCGTGATACAACCATAATATAGCTGCAGCGTGGTTCTACCATGTGTAATATGGACTGTGCTCATTTGTCAACCTTATTGCTATGAAAAAAAAATATCACACACCTAGCTAACTTCCTACACTCACCTTGCCTTCTTTCTCTTAGTCTTGTCATGTTTCTTTTTCGTCTTCTTCTTAGATGTTTCTGTTCCTTCTTCTATCACTTGACTCTCGTCGTCTCGGAGGATTGATAGTAAGTCTTCTTTACCATTGGATACATTTGATCTGCAACACAAATCAACAACTTAATCTACCACTGTTTACTTATTTATGACGTTATATATTTCCCATGGGTACTGCGGCAGTATACAGGCAGTCCATAACGAAACAAATTTTTCACCAGTGAGGGACACTGAACAGAGCTCGCAGTGTATATCGGAACACACCCATAAGCATTATTGACTTTCAATAAGCATTCTTGTGCATAATCTACATTGAATAAAAGTTACCCTATTCTAACATTTTGTACTCTAAAAAGGAGCATTCTTTCAAGAATAAAAGATTTCATATGTGATAGAGCCACGCTGCAGCTATATTGTGGGTGTAGCACGACCGTGGTAGGACCACGCTCTCACAGAATACTACCGTCAAATCGCGGCTTAATGCTGCTGTTTCGTATGATGAGTGTAGAGACCCTTTCTACTGGAAACGCGGCATTACATCTTAATCCTCAGGGGTGACAACGCATCTGCATTTCGATTCTTAATTGAGGATAAATGTAAATGTCTTGGGCCACAGCAACCCCTTAACATCAGGTGGACTGTGTCACCCTTAATCTACAAAAAAGTAGTCTTTCAAACAAAAAGAACCTCGTTGAATTAGGTTTTTTTTTATTTTAATTATAAGACCACAGCATCCACATCCGTCCAAATGGACAGTGTGCTTGTTTGTCACCCTCATTCTATAAAAAAATGTCCATTTGCTTGATGCTATTGTTGTTGTCCATTTGTTCCATACGATCAGGGTAGACATGGGTAAAAAATATCGATATATAGATATTTTCTCAAAAAATTATCGATATTTATCATCGACATTTTTGATCGCGATATTTCGATATTAGATATTTATTTTGGAGTATCGATACGACGATATGTCGATATTTATCCTGGATACTCTTTGAAAATATCGATACGATAAATATTGATATACTTTTTTCACATGCCCATCCCTACCGTCAGGTGAACTGTTAGTTTTTTTTTTTGTAATTTTAATACTATAAAAATTACCTGTATTCCTCCAGAGTGATATTATCCTCATAGTCGGAAAACCCTGCTTCTTCCTTAACATTGTCCTCAGTTTTTTCAATTGGTTGCAGTAAATTTACATTAACCAGTGCTGAACTTTGTTCCTGCTTTTCGTGCTAAAACAAGGAATTAATCAAGGTACAGGTAAGGGGTCCCGATTATTATATTATTATGATACTAGGGTTTGAATTTTATCACAAATTAGAAGTGAAAACATTATTATTAATATTAAAGTCCCTAGGTAAGTCCAACTTAGACCGAGAGGTCAATCGACGGATTCAACTCGGCTAGCTAGCGTTCGGGAAATTACAAACAACAAATTCTTCTCGTCATGTACACCTCAAAACTTGAAAACGAGACTGTACAACCAGTGCGTTTTGCCAGTGATGACCTATGGAACTGCGACGTGGTCCTTCACTGCTGGTCGGATGAGGAAGCTCAAGGTCGCTCAGCGAGCTATGTAGAGGACTATGCTCGGCGTTTCTCTGCGTAAACTTAGAAATAAGGATATCTGCAGTAGAACTAGAGTGACCGACATAGTCCAACGAATTAGTAAGCTGAAGAGGCAATTTTATACGTGGTAGAGCCATGCTGCAGCTATATTATGGTTGTAGCACGAATGGGTCGGCTCGACCGGCGTAGGACCACGCTCTCACAGAATACCAGCGTAAAATAGCAGCTTAAGGCTGCTGTGTTTCGTATGGTGAGTGTAAAGAACCGGAGACCCTTTTTACTGGAAACGAGGCATTCCATCTTAGTCCTCACGGGTGACAACGCATCTGCATTTTGATTCTTAATCGAAGATAGATGTAGATGTCTATGGGCCACAGCAACCACTTACCATCAGGTGGACTGTGTGCTCGTTTGTCACCCTCATTCTATAAAAAAAAGAAATGGGCCGGTGATATAGCCCGAAGAACCGACAACCGATGAGGAAAAAAGGTTCTCAAGTGGCAGCCTCGTACCGGCGGACGAAGTTTAGGACGTCCCCACTAGTAAAGTAAAGTTGCAGCCTATTTACGTCCCACTTTACGTCCCACTTTACGTCCCACTTTACGTCCCACAGGCACAGGCCTCCTCTCATTTCTGAGAGGGTTTTAGGCCAAGGAATTGTCCACCGGGCTGCCCTAATGCGTGTTGGCGAACTTCACATGTCTTCGAAATATTTTTTTCTTATTTCTCAGACATGCCGGTTTCCTCACGATGTTTTCTTTCACCGCCGAGCACGTGGTAAATCAGCACTTAAAACTGCAATTAACAATTTCATTGGTGCAGGCGGGAATCGAACCCGGGTTGCTCGAGTACTGTGAAGCTTACAACGAGCGCTAACCATCTAAGCTACCACGGCTTTAGATGTCCCCCCACTAGATGGAGTGACAACCTGGTAAAACATTCGGGAAGTCGATGGATGCAGGTGGCTCAGGACCGAGGTTTGTGGCATTCCTCGGGGAAGGCCTATGTTCAGCAGTGGAAGAAGGGCTGTAATGATGATGAAAACGAAATGTATGAAATTCATGACTCCAAATGTCAAACAATTAAATACTAAAGTAATTTTAAATGGGGAGGAACTGAGTCTTGTCGATACCACAATTTTTCTTGGAATCACACTAGACGCGAAGCTTCAATGGAGCCCCCATATATCAAAACTAGCAAGCAGACTTAGTTCTGTAAAAAAGATTAGAAATTTTACCATCAATCAAAACAGAGCAATCTATGTTTTAAAACCTAAAGAGTCGCTCTGACAAAAATTGAAGGAAATTGATATATTAACTTTGGCCTCTCAATACATTTATGAAAATGTAATGTACGTACACAAAAGTAAACGTAGTTCTACAAAAATAAGTGATATTCATTCTGTAAATACTAGGAACAGACACAAGCTAGTAGTACCAGTTACTCGACTCCAGCGAGTCAGTAATTCATTCTTGGAGCGAAGTATACGCTTTTACAACAAAATCCCAGAAAATATACAAAATTTGACCTGCTCAAAGTTCAAACACTTTATTAAACTAAGTTTGTATAAAAAAAAGTTATTATAGTATTAAGGAATTTATGGATGATAGTAACCTTGGGAATAAGGTGATCGCTACCAAGCTATTTCTAATTTGTTTTCTGTTGTTAATTGTGTAACATACATGATTGTAAGATTATTTTAAAAAAAAAAGCTGGGTTTCTTGCTGATTCTTACCAGGACAGAGGTTTTTTTTTTCGAACCAGTGGTAATTAAACAAAAGAGTGACTTTCAATAAGTGTTATATATAATCTATATTGAATAAAAAAAATTCTTTTTCTGTTTCTGTTACAGATTCACTTGTAACATTATTCTTATGAACTTTTTCCGTTGACTACCGCTCCGTTATCGCAACCTGTACAAGCCACCACCGCTGTATTCGAGCACTACCATTAAGTTCGTTATAGGGAGAGTGCGCATCGCATATTATATAAAATATTATGTAAAGTATGAATCACAATATTTTACAGACAGTGTTATTAAGGCGCATGGTTGAGCAAAATTTCTAGCGAGTCGTTATTTGTGCAGTTTTTAGGAGCTATCTACTTTTTATTTAAAAGATATATCAACAAATAAAAAACACATTATATTTCTACATAATCTTGATTCCATAAATCCTATCCAAATTTTTTTAAAAAGAATAAATATTAAAATAATCTCCTTACAACGAAACCACATAAATGTGAATTAATTATTGATAACATGCATCTCCTCATAAAGTATGTAGAAATAAAACTGAATAAAAATAAAAACAGACATGTTTTTTTTCATCCTCATCAATCATTGGAGCGAGGATAATGTCAGCCAGCATAAGTAATAAGCAGACTAAGTTACAAGGTGCTCAGTTCAAAAATTAGTAGGTAGGTATTGTACTTTTCAATACGTGACACGTAAAAATTAACAATAATCAAAAACACATCTGCGAAACATCCTATTTATTTATTTATTCTTTATTGCACCAAATATTTCTACAAAAGGCGAGCTATCTATCTATTTACCTATAGTGAGTAGGTATCTTTTAAAGTCACAATTTTCAATGCTTCATTTTTAATATATAATTAATTATAAAATTTCATAATTAGATAATATTATGTGAGAATACATAATTCTAATATAATGCAACTAATATACCCAATAAAAAAATTAAAATACATTTATCGTTGTACGCCGTGTGTATTTCCATAAAATAGTTTATTGATGTTAAAAAAATAATACTACGTTCGTACAGTAGGTGGCGTCTTGCATATTTCTTACGCGATATAATGTAGCGAGTAGTCGGCGGACCGAATGCTCAAGGTCGTTCGCATGGAGTAGCCCCTTAAAATGTTTTCAATATTTTATTAAATAGTTGTAGATTTTGTTGCGTTTGTTAGTATCTTTATAGCCAAGGAATTAATTTCGTTACAATCCTGGTGGCTTTCATTCAATTTTATTGCAAAATTAATTTAATATTTTAAATATACCCTTTTTTTTACGAAATTGGGTACCCTCATATTTAAACGAGTATATTACTTCGCTTTTATCACTAATGTTTGTATAAATAAAAAAAACATAAATGCAATCTCACCTCAAGAACTTTGTGAAAGCCAGTCTTACTCCTGCCACTTGTATCAAACACCAGTGTCGCTGTGGAACAGAGGTGTGGATTTTTATACTTGGTTAATTCAGGATCTTGGGCGTCTATTGAGAACTGTAAAGAAGAGAAGTTTCGTTTTAGTCCTATATCAAATCCCTCGGCTCAGACCTGCTCTCATTTCTGGGAGAATTTTACGGCAAGGAAGAGTCGACTCTGCCGGGCCAATGCGTGTGAGCAGACTTCATGTCTTCGATTTTTTTTATTTACTCTAACATGCAGGTTTCCTCATAATGTTTTCCTTCACCACCAAACTCGTAGTAAATTCATTCGATTCATTGGCGCCGGTGAGAATCGAATCAACTTTCTCACGTATTATGAAATTTACAGCAGGCACTTAGCCCCTGAACTACTACAGCTCCTTGTCTGGCCCAAACTAGGAAAGAATCTTTTGAAAATAAACAGCAATTTAGAATAATATGCCCCACGATTGAGCATAGGCCTCTCAATGCTGCAAAGTATGAAAGTGGAATATGTATGAATATGTATAATTATTATAATTGTATGCCGTAGTAGATCAAAGGCTACCCTATCATCCTATGGGTGTTGTATGTACGCGAAGTAATTTTTTACCAACTTTAACAGCTAGCCATTGCTGGTCTGGGTACTTACACAAGAATCTTTCTACCTACGCTGCTGTATTTCCTATGGTGAATGTAGAGAACCAGAGACCCTTTTTACTGGTAACAAGACATTCCATCGCAGCCCTCAAGGGTGACAACTCATCTAAACTTTGGTTTTTCATCGGATATAGATGTGTCTATTCACTTACCATTAGGTGTGTTGAGTGCCCATTTGTTATATACACATACATATATACATAAACATTAACGCCATTCACCCAGAGGGGTAGGCAGAGACTATAGACTTCCATTTGGCACGATCCTGACACACCTCTCTCGCTCCCTCCACATCCATATACCTACGCACACATGCTCGTCGGTTAACAGTACTCTTAATCTGACTTATTTGTTACATTTTTCCTATCAACAAAGATATTGATTGGTGACTATTAACATCTTCCTGGTATTACAAACTGGTATTGTAACAAGGTGATGAATTCTCCAACACTGCTAACACTAATTAATAGAATCAGGCGTTACTTTGCGGAAATCCATTATATAAAAGCTTTTAGAAAAATTTACTTCGCAAATATCCACGTTATAAAATAAAATGATGTGTCTTACCTAGTATGAAGAGCACCTCCCGCCTTCCCTCAGTTGCGTGCACTATCCCCGTCACCACTAATCCCAGCACCGCTACTCCCAACACCACTATACTAGGCAAGACACACCACTGACGATAATACAACACGTGTTTCGTCTCTACACGAGGCATCCTCAGGTGATATAGACTCTATGGTGACTAACCGCTAAATGAGCGGCGAGCCAAAACAAGTGCCTTTTATACAGACCGATGACGCAACCGCTTTCTACATTACATTTTATCGCATGACGCAGTCGCTCGCTCCTTATGTAGAAAGCGGTTCCTTATGTACTAGGTAAGACACATCATTTTATTTTATAACGCGTATATTTGCGAAGTAAATTTTTCTAAAAGCTTTTACTGCTAACACTCTTCAAAGATAACGTACCGGAGCACATCGAGTTAGGTATTCATAGAGCAAATTATGAGCCCGTTGCAGCTTCTGTTTGAATAGAACTGTCTTCTTAAGTAGCGCCAGGCACTCCCAACACAGTAGCTGAGGTAGGCCATCTGATTCTGTGACCTACAAAAATGAGAAAATATGTGAATGTCCTTTCAGCATCTTAGGAGATGAAGTACCTGTTTCACACAGCGGAACCAGGCCTTCGTCACTCGCTCAAGACCCTGCGTTATATGCCTACCGTTTTGCGTATCGCCCACGATACAACCGACATTGGGTTGCCGCACGCCCGCCTGAGCGCTTGCACCGCGAACGTTTCCCGCGCTTACTCGTCGAAATGCCGAAACCACGTAATTATTGCACAGTGGATGGGTATCAGAGTCAAGAAACAAATGAAAAATTGTTTTTTTTTTCTTAACTATAAGGTTACATCGAAACAAAGCATTACAGTGCTGTAATTTATAAATTGAGTGACAACCATTTTCAACGATAAAATTTAATAACCGAATTCAGAGAAGGAAAAAAATGTATAAATCATTCTATAACACTCAAACATATTTAATTGACAAATAAAAAATATGGTTATTTCGCAAGATTCGTTTTATTATAATAATCATCATAGGTACAACCCTAGCGCATACGTGCGATGACGCGCTTGCATGTGAGTCGCACAAAATTTTGACTCTTTTTACGCGTATTTATGCTACATTTTCCTCTCGCTGCGAACAGCAGATATTATTATTAAGATTTTGTAGGCTATTATAGCGTAGGTATTTTCGCTTTTGTATGGGAGTGATGTATCTGTTTAGTAAACTATTAAGTAATCTGTGGCGGAACCTCTTCCTGTAATTAGTTAAGGCGATCCATATCTACGGATATTTATTTAAAATAATATCTGTATTTTTAAAACTGTATTTGTATCTGTTGGACGAATTAGTAAGCTGAAGTGGCGAGGAAGAAAGGGTCTCGAGTGGCAGCATCGTACTGGTAGATAAAGTGTAGGTCGACCCCTCAGTAGATGGAAAGGAAACTTGGTAAGACATGGAGGAAGACGACAGATGCAGATGGCATAGCATCGTGCTCAGTAGCATTCTTTGGGGAAGGCTTATGTTCAGCTGTTGACTTGTGAAGGGCTGTGATGATGATGATGATGATGATTTGTATCTATCTAAACCTAATTTTTGTCTATTGTTAACTAATGATGGACCTAAATGAATCATATTCGTAATACTGAGGGTCCAAAGTGAATTCAGAGTGAAATGTGGGAGGACATAAGTCTTATAAAATAGCAGTGCTTATTTGCTGAGTAGTAATAGTAAGATGTCAACCATTGCAGTATATTTCTCTTTATTAGGGATGTGAATAACGGTTTAATATGGACAACAAACTTATGTGCTTAATTGCTTATATTTATTTATTGTTAAATAATAGAATGTGACTCATTGTAAAAATTACATTAAAGAAATATTATTTGCTGATAGCTTAGTGACCTGTATAAACCACATTTGAAAACATTTTCTACTATTAGTGTCAGTTTACTTCAATTTTTTATTTATTTATTTATTTATTTTCACAGGTAACTAGTTTGACAATGTTATAACTATAATACCTCTAAGAAATGTTTTACAGTGTACGAATGTATATATCTATTTTTTACGTGGTAGAACCATGCTGCAGCTATATTACTGGTATAGTTCTAGCACAAAGGGGTGACTCGACCGGGGAAGGACTACACTCTCACAGAATACCCACGTAAAATAGCAGCTTAATGCTGCTGTTTCGTATGGTGAGTGTAGAGAACCAGAGACTACACCACCTCACTGTATTTACTTAGCATTTAAATTGCAAGAGACGATTTAAATTTAAGTACTTATTTTAATTACCACAAAAACACTATGCAAAGACCAGCTCAGCGAATAAAACATAATAGATCGTCAACAAGTTAAAAATAGTTTTCAATGTTAAACAGGGGCGTAGCTACCGCCGTATCAGCCGTATGAATGATACGGGCCCCCGGGCTACAGGGGCCCCGGACGTATGTAAGCAAAAATTCTAAGGACTGCTATGGGACTGGACGTTGGTTTCAATTGTTTGGCTAGCTTAGTTCCTAGGAGTATTAATTGTAAGTAATAACGTATAATCAATATATAATTATTTTAATTCAATGCGAGAGTTTTTGTTCCTTTTGTGAAAAATCTCTACCCTTCATTTGAACCCCCTGACAAATTTTGATACAGGGCCCCTCTAAGGCACGCTACTCCACTGATGTTAAATCTTAGACTTTAACTATAACCACAATATAATTTTATATGATTAACGTTTCGGAGTATTATACTTACTGTAACACCAGCCAATTCAAAAAATAATGGCCTATATAACATAACATTCGTCCCACGTCTGTCCTTCGATAAACAACAACGACAAATCGTTGTCACGGTCTCACAGTCTTTTTTTAAATCTTCATTATTTTCTATAATATTAACTTCCATCATAAATAGCACAATTTAAGAAAACTACAAAGTACAGCAGAGAAGACCATAGCAACTTTCCGAAATTTGTAAACAATATGGCGTGCCGCATTGTCATTGTCATTGTCAGTGCTTGTCATTGTCAGAGTCAGCCGGAGATACCATAGAGATCCGATTCGTTGCGGCACCGATTTTCGACAACTTTTAGCTGTGGCGGCGAACAAATATTTAATGACACGCCTATTGTGCCATCCGCCATGTGTAAAAGTAATGTTCTTTTAAATGCTTTTTTTACTTGTTTAGACTTAATTAAGTTTATTTGACATCAAACATAAGTTTCAAATGGAAGGATACTTGTTTTTAGTGGGTAACTACGTGTTTTTTTACGCGTTTTCTTTGAAATTGAGAGAAAGTGGCTTTTTTTATGAAGAGATTACAAACCTTTTGTACTATTTTTTGTTGTTATAAAAAAATCATTTATATAAATAGGTACAGCTAAATCACCCTGGAAACCTTGGTTTTTATTAAATTAAATTTTCACCTAATAATAACATTTGTAAATATCAAACAATGAAGAACCTTAATTTGAAAAAAAAAAGGTATATCATTCATTAATATTTACAAATGTTAAATATTATTTAATGTAATACAAATGTAAAAGTAAAGTCGATCTGAAAACGTCTAATTAGTAAGAATAGCAAAACAAGTGTTTTCAAAAGGAAAAAAACGCCGGCGCTATACGGCGGTGGATTGACAAAAGAGTATTTATTAGCGAACTTTTTTTATGCATGAACAGTTTCGAACTGTTTCAAGCAAAAATAAACCTTATACCATATCACAAGAGCACATGGTACTTCGTAGATCTATTCGGCCATATGATAGTAATAAGACGACAGTTCAACCATTTTAAGCAAAATTAAACAATAAGACAAACGCATTGTTTTTTTTTAACAGGAGACTTGTTTTCCAGAAATTGATTTACAATTTGAATTTGTGAGCGATCGCAATAAGTGCTATTATTACTTATTAGACAATTTTTCCATAACATGATTTAAAACCCACAAAGTAAAAATAGTACCATGTACACGTTAAAAAAAGGTTGTCAACCCCTAAAAATTTCAATTTTTCAAAATATCCAGAAACGAAGCTGCATGCATGAACTACTCGCAAAATATTGAATATTTTGTTCTGGATAAATTTTCCAAAAAGGCAATTTGAGCGAGTTATAACGATTTTTAAATAGACACGACTCGCGTGTCATACGCCACACACAAAAGCAAGCCTATGGAGAAATACCTATGAAGAGGACATATTCCACTAGAAATAATAGTTATACAAATATCTATAATATATCGACACACACTTGTTAAAAACAGTTTCGTCTCTTTTTAACAACGCAGTAGCTGCAATAGAAAAGAGAGACAAGTACAGTTTGTAAGGTGCTTATTTTGGTAATACTTTCGTGTGACGTCATTAGCTCATCCATGCGTGACTGCGTCGCCATGTTAAGCGCCAAGTTTTGTGATAGATCTGCTGTCAAACTGTCAAAAAGCAGTGACATTGTGTTGTACACTCTTATCTATGGTATCGTATAGAAATTATTTTAATAAATTAATTTTGTTTAGAAATGAATGTATATTAATAATAATTTGTCACCCGATCCTATAAAAAAAAATTATTGATTATAAAACAGTTTATTTAATTTTTACTTAACTAATCATTATTATTTTATATTAAAAATACTATAATATGGGATCAAGGATCTCCATCCCGTCTCCATACCTTTGTTCACTGTACAATATTATTGTAAAGCAAACAAAGGTAGGTATACAAGTAAAAATATAGGTATACAGGCAAAAATACTCATTTTCCCATTACTCTGTCAAAATTATTTTTTATTGTGTGCGTTATAACTTTTTAACTTTTTTCACATTGATATAAAACAAAACGTCTGTGTGTATTTATGTACGCACGTAAGAAATTATACTTCTTTAGCGTAACTAAACAAAAATAACTAAAATAAAACACGTTTTATACATTCAGATATATTTGAATAACTACCTCGAATATAGTTCTCAGTTCTCAAGAAAACTTAACAATTGACAGACAATTAGCAACTGAAGTTGTAAAAAATTCACTCTCATCATTTTTCTCAAACGCGCCAAAAGAAGTATAACTTCACAACTTGAGTAAGCACTTAGCACACTCAGAACATTGTTTAAAACAAGTTGCAAGTTAGCTGCCTGCATACTTAACTCATTGTTCGACTGTGTACCTAACACAAAAAATCAGTAGCAGAGTATGCATTGCGTAAGTGTACATGTGCGGTGAAGCCTGGTGAAGCAACTCAAGTGAAATTAAAGGGATAGCAATCCAAAACTAATTTAACAACCCAACAATATCCATTGCTTCATGTGATTGAAAAATTCGTTTGCTCTACAACAAAAACCACGCAATGGATGTTGTTAAACTATCAAATTGGTATGTTTTGCCATTGTAGGTGTGTTACGCAATTAGGCTACGGATTTAATTTATATAATTATATGAAATAAGAACAAACTCATATTAGTAAAAATATTGATATCAGCTGCCCATATTGCTGAGTTACAACCCTATAAAATGCAACCATTTTATGCGCCAGATTTGTTTAGGTAGTCACGCTAATTCTGTAGGTATGCCCAGTCCATATACTTCTAAGTGAGAGTTACCGTAGATAGCGGACAGTATGTAGAGGGAGTATGTATGTAGTTTATTCTCTCTCGGGACAGTATTTTTATTTATTTTTACTTTGTGATCTGGATGAAGGTCTTTTTAGGAGATACCACAGATCACAGAACTATGTCTGTACTACATGTATAAAAAAGGAAAATAAATAGGCATATGAAAGGAAAATAGGCAAATAATACTAGTATACATAGCGGTCAGTGGCAAATAATAATAAACCTAAGACATAGTGTATAGAAGAATTAAAGGCCCCTACATCAAAAGTTAGTGAAAATATTTTGTAACTGTGTTATATTAAAAATTAACTTTATTAATCCTTTTGGATAGAATAAAGAATAACACAAGCTCAAGATAACAATTAGGGAATCTTCTCAGTAGATACCAGCCTTTTAAATATTTTGCCGTAAATAATAGTTCTTTACCTATGAAATTGCCGTTTTGCAGTACTGACCATTTCAAATCAAAATAATTTTTGTTTGGCTAAGAATTCTAATTTTAAAATAATTTTATTTTAAAAACATGGAATTATTTTTGAAAACTAGTCATTTGCATTATGTTTTCATCGTGTTTGAATCTTTTTTGTCATTGTGGATACGATAAAAACGGAATACTTATGGAATATGACTACCGCCATGGCAGCAACGTGGCACAAGCGGCACGCCAATCAATGACGTTTACGGAGTAAATACTGCAAATGAGCGCACCACCTCTTATTGGTAAGCGGGCAATTCCGGAAATTCTATCTATTAAATCCTTCTGTAAATTTCGATAATGAACCCCGTGGTCGTCCGAAAACTTTGGTCGATTAAAGGCGATAGTGAAAGCTGATGATGATGATACTCAATCTACGGCTGAATTAACAGCAGCTTTTGACGTTAGCATCAAAACAATAATAGCCGACTTAAAAATTTGTAGAGAAATCAACTCAGCCACTGATGTTGTGCTTCTTCAAGAGGATGTTGATAATCTAGCAATCTGGGTCAAACAAAACCGAATGGAACTAAATGTTGATAAATGTAATTTTATTAAATTCTCACGGCACAGGTTGCAAACATCACCTTCGTACCACATCAATGGAAAACAACATAAAGAGGTAGATTCTATCTGGGACCTAGGCGTTATTTTGGATTCAATCTCACAAACACATTGAGGACATAACATTTAGGGCCTTTACAATACTAGGATTCGTAATTCGTAACTGTAAGGAGCTAAAACTAGCCAATAAAATTTTATTATATAACGTATACGTTCGTTTGATTTTGGAGTATTGCAGACCAGTTTGGTCACCACACTACGAAGTACATGTTAAACGACTAGAACGTGTGCAGAAAATATTTTTATGGCATGTCTCGTTTCAATCCGGTCTAGCTAAGCAGTTGCCTTCGTACGTTGATAGATTTTCAAAATTAAAAATGAAATGCTTAAAAAATAGGAGGCTTATATTAGATCATTTGTTTTTATATAAAATTGTAGGTACCTAGTCAGGTCATAAATTCTGTCACATGTTTAATATAAAATAATTGAAACAAGTTTATTCATTATGTAACCATTTATATACCAAAATGAACTTAACAAAACTTAGATTCTTATGACACTAAAGTTTATTCAAAATGACCTCCGTGATTTTGAATACAGGCCTTCAATCTGCGCGGCCAGTCGTCTATCGCAGCATGAACGAGGTCCATGTCAATATCGGCGGCTGCCTTAATCAAGGATGTCTTGAGTGACTCCAAATTGGGATGAGGCTTTGAGCACGCCTTTTCCTCCAAGTGTTGCCATATCTTGTAATCTAACGGATTCAAATCTGGACCGGAGGAGGGCCAGTCTTCGTGCCGGATGAAGTCGATTTCACGCGCCGCCAGCTAGTCTTGTGTGCTCTTCGCTCTATGAGCTGGCGCCGAATCTTGTTGGAATACCCAGTGCCTGTTATTGAACATGGTATGAGAAACAGGTTCCACAAGGTTCGTCAGGACTGTATTTTGATACACAACTGCATTCGTTTTTACACCTTTCTCACAAAAATGTGCCTCTGTTAAGCCCCAATAAGAAACTCCCAACCATACCATGAGCGAGGATGGAAAATGACGTCGTTGGACACGCGGAATACGGTTGCTCGCTTCTTCACTACTATGTGCGTACACCTTATCATTTTGTTTGTTGTAGCTCTCTTCTACGGTAAAAATTTTTTCATCCGAAAAAAGAATTTCCCAATATTTTTTTCCCGCGTACCGCTTCAACAAAGCGCGGCATCTTTTTAGTCTCAGGTCCATTAGACGAGCATTCAAACGATGTCCTGT